TCTTGCTAATTCGGATTGGCTCTCACTTTCAGAGTTGTTTTACTGGCTAACATTTTCTTCCCTTAGCAAGAGATATTTTAATTGCTTAGGTTAGCCTTAAGGAGAGGAGGGAGAAAGGAAGGGATGACACTATGACTATATGGGGTCACAGGAGCAGGATGTGAGTGTCACAGGGCTAATGGAGCAATTGCACAATCATTCTATAGAAGAAACCTTCTATTCCTCCAGCTTTTAATACACTCAGTGCTGTATGCTATAGTTCAAAAGCATGGGCTTTGGAGACAGAATGACCCAACTATCGATTTAGGAATAGAATTTGGGGCAAATTGTTTACCTCTCTGAGCCTCTGTTTTCTCATCTGTAAAATGGAGATATAGCCATTCTGCACATTTGGAAGAATTAAAATAATAAATGAAAGCACCTGGCCTTAATAAATGTTAGTGAAATACAGTAAAAACAACAAAGCATCACTGCAGCCAATTACAAAATCCTGAACCCCCAAACTGGAAGCTGGTTCCGTTAACTATAGCCGCCATCTATAATCAACACATATGTACTTTACCTACAGCAACACAAGCACATTTCCTCTTGGATGAATAGTATTAAAATATGGATATATATTAATATATATTGATGAAAAGTAATAGAAGTTAACTGAAACATAAGGGAAAACACAAACAGTGGAATGTTGTAGGCTTTAACCTCCCCCCCCCCCGCCAAAAAAAAAAAATTGTGTTCCCAGTTTACTTCACAGATATCAATGAGGAACATCAGACTTCCACAACTAACATGTTTCGGGGACCTCACAGAGGATGAAAATGGAAGACGGCTTTACCCAGGCCTAGGTATACCACATTTTCTTACTTATTGCTCAGCTTACATTTGTTGGTGAAATATTCCTTTCCTAGTTACCCATTAATCAATGCCCCCAAATGTGTACATTTGAAACGAGTCAACCAGATGGGCGTGACTGTTTGCAAGGTTCTTTCCTGTCCATGCAGTTGGGAGGCGTGTCAAGTGTCTGTGTCACATAAGAAAAAAATATATCTGCAACGGTGGCAAACTCATGGCTGACTGCAGAGATCTGGTTCTGGAAAGAACCCAACGTGCTTGCCGCCCTGTCCATATACGCAAAGACAACGGTTTCAAAAACTGATCACGCTGTTTCCTTGTTACTCCCTCCAGTCTGCAGACTTTGTTTCACTGGTGAAAATACAAATGATTCGTGTTTTTCTGACCCTGTGTGACACTCAGCCTGTTTTGCAGGTACTGTAGCTGTCAGAAAGTAATAAAACAGTTTTGTTTTTTTTAATTCTATAATTTGGCATTTTCCCTATTTTATATTAACCATCCCACCCATTGAGATTAGCTTGAATCAATGAGTCTTACTATATTGTAACACAGTCATTTACTCTAGATCAAAAGGAAAGAGCACAGAAGCAGAAATCAAGTTTATACTGTTCATTTGCTTGGCCAGCTCTTTACTCCTCATAGCATAAAGGGAGATTATGAGTGTAATTCCTAGCCAGAATTAATGAAATTCAAATCCACTGTTAGATTTAAGATATTATTACTAGATAGTATCTACTTATGAGAAATAATTAACAGGACACAAGTATTTCTAAAGCTATTATTAAAACAGAAATAGAAACAATTAGGCTTCTCCAAGTCCTGATTATCTTTTTCTCTCTTTTTCTTCCAGAAAACACCGTGCTTTGCTCAGGCTGGGACAAAAATGTTAATTTTAATTAATCCTTGTAATTAAGTATTAAAAGTGTCTCTTGCCTTCTTTTAAGTCCTTAGGAAATAAATCCATATACTGTATGTATCTCTAGCTCTATAATTTATCAGACAGGAGTTACACAATTATTTGGAATACACACATATGTTAATTTTCAGAATTTCTTAAAAGAAAAAAAATTTCCAGGAATAGCTTGATGTCATTTAATTTTCTGCTTAAGTGAAGCTCTTATGCAGAAAACATCTTTGTTTCTACTCTTACTTTAAAGCCATTCTTAGTAGGTAAGCACACTGTCCAGTCCACCTGAGGCCAACCAAGTGAGAATGGCTGCGTTTTCCGGGTATTCTGTTGTCTCTGATAACTTTATCTTGTGTAGGTACAAAGACGCAGAAGATATGCAAGACTGAGCTGAACGCAAATAACTCCTGGGCATTTAAAAAAATGTTTAAAAAAACAGATACACCAACCAAACAACAAACAAAAATATCATTCAGCTTTTGGCTGTTGAATAATGGGGGAATGCTGGTTAAATGAACATTCCATTTAATTGATATTCTGCTGTTGATACTAAAAATGTACACGTTCATTCATTGATTCAACGAGTATTTACCGAGAGCCTCCATAAGGCAGGAATTCTTCCCAGTGTTTTGACATATACCTGGGAACAGATCAGGCAAAAAAAAAATCCCTACCCTCATGGAACTTACATTCTAACAGTGAAAGAGAGAAAATAAGCCGTAAATGTTAGAAGATCACTGCTAGAAGGAAAAATGGAGTCGATTAAGGGGGAATCAATGTTTAGAGGAAGATGAGTTATGATTTTAAATAGGATGCTCAGGGTAGGCCTCACGGAAAAGATAACATTTAGCAAAGAAATGATGGAGGTGAGATACTAAGTCATGTCGCTACTGGGAGAGAGCATTCTAGGCAGAGGGGACAGCAAAAGCAAAGGGCAAAGGTGGTACCTGGTCAGAGAGGCCAAAGTGGGGCGAGGAGTAGAGGGTAAGAGTGGTGGGGACTGGTGTGTGCGCGCGCACGTGTGTGATAACGTACTCGTATGAACTAGAGCTGACTATGACTGACATCCCCCCCCTTGACCTTGATTCCCTGTCAAGGGCTGACAGTGACACTCACCTGAAACATATGGCGGTGACGCCACATATCCAAATAAAGATGCCATTACCAGAGTGCAAAGACAGTTTTAAAAAGCAAAGGAAACATTTCACTTTTTCACGGATCGGACTTCCAAGTGCTCTGACAGTTCAGGTCTATGGGGTGCGACCATGTGGGTTGACGCTATTTACGGTTTGTACAACAGAGTGAACGTGTTGGTCAGAGGCAGCCAGAAACGGCCCTGCAAATAACCCTTTCTCATTCCTGGCAGCTAGGCCAGTTTCAAGGACTCCTGATAAATCATGAGTTTTCACTTCCTTTCCTCATTAAAAAGCCAGGTTTAAACATCAGTGAGGTGTGCCTGTGTGGGAAGTGAATAATCACCATGTACCTGCACAAAAAATACGTGGATTCATTTGGATAGTCTAAATGTACTAAAGGATCCGATTTTTTTCAGAAAGGTGCGCTTCTTTGCTAAATGACTTTCCATATGAAAATGCATGGCTTGAGTTATTTCAGCGGAAGAATGTTGAGAAGTGAATGATCAAGCATTGGGTTACAAAGTTTAAAAGTTAATACAGCGGCAGAGAGTATTTGTATTAGTGCTTTAAGTAGATAAATTAAATTGAAATGTGTCTCTTAAGCAGTCATTGAACAAGCAAGATGAGAAATAAATTGAGCTCACATAGGCCTTTATGGCATCTAACAACTGTGTCTGTCAACATGCAGATCCTTTTCACTGTCAATTCAACACACACTTTGCAGACCTTGGGCCTGCAATTATTTCATTTCCTTTCTTGGGAATGTAATTTCCACTTACTTTTAGAGAATAAAAGGCAGACAAAAGGAGGAAGGAGTCGCAGTATTTTCTGATTAAGATTATCTGTGTAAAATGGTAAAGAAAAAAAAAATCTATACACCCACACTGAAGCATTTCTCAGAAACTAACTTGTCTCAGCCAAATTGCTTTTGTGTCTGGATATTGGTTCAAATGTAGCCAGATTGTTGATGTCAAATTAGGTGCTAAACAAATTTAATAGGAAAGATGAAGAATGAATATAGATCATCTTTCTGTGAGAATGTTCAAATGACTGTAGTCAAAAGAAAGGAAACACAGGACTGCAGGAGAAAAACGTGCTCTTAAATACAATGAAATTAGATAAAATGGTAAATCAGCAAAGAAGGTCATTCATTCCAAAAGAGTAGGGGGAAAAAAAAGTTAATAGTACCAATGAGAGAAAACAAGAGTGGAAGGAAATACCACTTGGCAAAAATAGATCTAAATTGAATTTCAAGTTCATTTGTCCAGGCTTCACCTTTTAAACTAAGACAGGTAGAACGACAAAAAAAAAAAAAAAAAAAGGTTCTTTCTCTCCTGATAGAACAGGAAATCAGAGATTTAATGAACTGTGATTACAATATTCAGCTGTTCTCATTTGTCTCACCTCTTCGTTTTCTCTAAGCGACAAACCCCCTGACATCCTGGCAAAGGAACTGAAGTAAAACTAGACTAATTTCAAAAAGAGCTTGCCATTGTTATAAGACAAACTGATCTTCTACCCGATCTGTTGGGGAACACATTCAACAGCAAGATGAACTCTGTGACAAAGTGCCACTTTCAAGCAAGTCTATACCGATAACTCTTTACATAGTATGTTTTCATCCTCAGAACACAGCAATAATAAGGCATCTCTTTCACAGAGGACCAGAAGATAAGGCTGTAAAAATGTACTCTTCAAAGTACGTTTGAGGATCTAGTGCTTCTGAAAGACCTAGTATCTTCTTCAGCAGCTCATGAACCATTAAGAGGGATGATGTAAGCATTTAATCTAGAAAGAATGATGAAGTGTCTTCTGATGCTCAATAAGCATCACCCAGGTCAATTTTTTGTGTGCAGAAGAAGATCCTGATTACCAAACCAGTTTAGGGGCAGGAATTCTCTATACACATTACCTGCTTTGGATGAGAATAAGACCTCTAAGGTAGGAGCCTGGAATCAAAAGTTGGCTCGTCAAAGGAAGACAGAAGAGAATTTACTGGCTAACCACATCGAAATCTTGCTAGAGAGAAATAAAGCAAAGCAACACACGAGTTAGTTATCACAGATTCTTCTACGCACTATTTAGTAAAGAGCATCATTACTTACTGAAATGTAACCTTGGAACGTGTGCATCCTTCCAATTTACACGGCCCTTCACCTGGCTCAGGAGTTGGGGGGGACGGGCTGTTGAATTCTGCCTCCAGAGTTTTCTTGTTCAAGGCTCTTTTTGTTACACTGGATACAGAACCCAACACGGGCATGGATTTGGACTCTGAGGTGGCTAATATCCCGCTTGGACCTTGAAACCAAACACATACCTCAAGTTTAATCATTCTGTGTGATGCTGGTTAATATGGTACTGAACAACAGATTAGCTGAAAAATCCCTCAGGAAGTGGAAAGGCCAAGTTTTGTTAAAATTTCAAGAGCGTGCTGAAAAAAATGTGCCTATTAGAAAATGGGCTCTGCTTTGGTGGTACGACTGCTTTTCAAAGCACCAGGGCCACGCTGAGAAATTGTGTACAGACCTTTAAGAAACTACAAAACCCCAGGTCATGGTTCCCTCACTGACCAGAGTCCTTAGAAATACTGGAATTGTGAAAGCTCTTTTCTTCTCACCGAGTATGGCTTTCTGACAGCCCTACTTGAACCATTTGGCCTCTCAAGAGTTAATGCCTCCAAAAACTCTGCCCTGCATTTCAAGCAGAAAATGGAATGATGTCAAAGGCTCTTTTCAAAAGGCGCATGAATGTTTCTGGAGCATTACACAGCTTTTATGAACATTTTCATTTTAATGTGATTGAGAAGTGCGTTTATTTCCTGGTAATATACAGACACGGGATTATAAAAATTAAGTGGCAAAGAGTTTGGCTGTTTACCTCTTGGACGTCTCTGCTCTTTGGGACAGGATTAAAAAACTGCACTAGGGCTTGTTAATGAAATTATTGGCGTAGTAATCCAAAAATTCTAGGCACTGAAGTTAAGTTCCATCCTGACTTATTTTCTATCTTTAGTTAGAAAGATACTACCCTAGGCAGTTGTTTGTTTGTTTTCAAAGCACGATTCTAGTATGTCTTTCTTGAAACTTCAGAAGGAATCCTCCTAAAGAGATTTACGAAATAAGTCACAAATGTACAAATAAAATGCGAACTCCTAAAAACAAAGCCAGAGGACAACACTGAAAGGTGCCAGTAACGTGAGTCTCTTGATCCTTAAGAAAGGTCGGACCATCTCCTAAAACAAAAGGTGCTATCAGCAGCTATTATCCAAAGTGCTAGCTAATCCCTGATTATCCATTTTAAGCGCTGGAATTTTATTCTTACGTTCGTGTATAAGTGTGTCTGATGTATTGCAAGAGTACAACACACCAGCTCCAAAAATGAAGTTCTAATTTGAAAAACCTACCTACGAGGACCTGGAAACTTATTTAGCCATTCTGCTGTGGTATCTCCTTCAGCCTTACCTCCATGTGGGAGAGACAGGGCCCTCTGACCTAGTCGACAGCCTCACCTCACAAAGCATCAGTGTGCCTCTTCCTCATTTATTTCATCTTTGCCGTCTGTGCAGACACCTTTGTGATATTGCTGACTAGTCTGGTTCAAACGCCCTTTCCCTCTAACTTACGTGAAGCCTCATCCCACAAGGGGATGTGGGAATAAAGAGAAAAGGGCAGAATAGATCAATAAAGTTCCTGAAAATACAAATACAAAGTTGAATTCAAGAATTGCTACAAAGCAGCTCCATCCTGCCCTTGGGTCATTGTTGACTACAGCACTAGACAGCTTTCAACAATCTGTCCTTGTAGGAAAGCAAAACCCGTTTCTGAACACCCCGCCTGCTGCTTGTTCTGCCTCTGAAGCCAACAAACAAGGAGGGCGAGGGGTTGAGCTGAGCCAGAGCTCTTATTTTTCTTACACGCAAAAAGGAACTTTTAAAAAATGCATAATGTTTAAGGTTATTATTACTATTATTATTATTATTATTATTATTATTGCATCCTGTTTAAGCTGCCCCATGGTTTCCAAGAGGCACTTTCTGCTCTTAGACATGTCAGTTTGGTAAGCCACAAGCCCAGGTAAAACAAGGCAATATCAGCTCCATCAGAAAAATTCTAAAGAAAAAGATGCTTCTCTGGCCCCTGGGGGAGCTACCAACTAAGCTGGGATCTGAGTTCTGCAAACCTCTGCTTCTCTTTGGATGCTTTCTTTCTCCACTTTGTGACCTCACATTTAGCTTGCCCATAGTTTGCTCTCACCATGCAGCTGTGCTGCGCTAGCTTTCTAACCCAGCCCCCTCCACACCAGAATTGCCACTGTCATTCCATGACCTGCATTGAAAGATTTACATGATAAATACCTCTTCCAGTTTGATGCTTGGAAAATATCTGTACCACCTTTTAAAAAGGTATTTCTTTTATTAGATGATAAGAGTTTGAAGGTTTGTTCCCCCTACCCCATTTTATTTTGTTTGTTTGTTTTGCTTTGTATTGTTTTTGCTTTGGCTACTAGGGAGCTCAAAAGAAAATTTTTGTGCAATTACAAGTCACGTCCCCCTCCATATGTGTTTCCTTTTTACTCTGCCAATCACAGTTTTTGATCTATCCAAATATTAATGATTCTATTGAATATGTATCTCTTATTCTAACTTCCCTCAATGCAAATTAAACTGTTTTAATGGACTAATTGGAGTTGGCTGAACTGGGTCTAAAAGATTTAGCCTATTGGCTATAGTTGCTGATTAAGTTTTGCTTTAGTTTTTCAGAGCCAGACTCCTGGCCACAAAGGGGAAAAACCTCATAAAGGTTTCTGCTAATGCCCATGACCAACTTGAGGACACACAAAGTTAGTTCTGTGACAGACTTTGAGGGCTAACACGTGGTATCATGACACAAATGCAAACTGTGAGTTCAAGACTTGCTCGGATGGTCATTTATAGCGGCTGAGCGCTGGAATTTCTCATTCACTTGGTTCGCAGACAGAGACAATCAGCTGCATGAATATGAAGATAAAGATGATTTCTCTGCATTTGTAACTGATGTGTAATTACTATTACTAATTACTGTGTGCTTCGTGCCAGGCACAGTGCTAAACCCTTTTCATATACTGACTTACTTAATCCTTAGAATAATCCTATGAGGCAGTGCTTTGATTATCCTTACTTTCTAGATGAAGAAACGGAGACACAGAGTGGTTGAGGAATTGGCCTAAGAGCAACCAGCTAATAAACGGCAGAGCTGGGATTCAAACTCACACTGTCTGGTCCCAGAACCTGTACTCAGTGCTACACTGTTGCCACAGCCCATCCTGAGTGTCTTTACCCAAGGGCATCTTGCGTTAAGCAAACCAGGTCTATAAACGCCTGATTACCTACAAATAAATAAACAAACCTACCAATAAGTAAAAATACATGAGAGTTCTTATGAGATACCCTTAAGTATGCTTTGACCATCCAGTACTTCTCATTCACATTAAAAAAAATACAATAATTTTAAAACGATGACGTCATGTGACAAAGGGACTTAAAGGAAGATGTTGCAGAGAGGAAGAGTAGAGAGAGCTATGGAGAATGCAAACCAGCTTACTACTGCTATCTGCTTCTGCGGTCACCTTCCTGCGACGCAAAATCCTCTCTAACTCAGTCTCACTGTTTTCAGTGTCAAGGGATTTTAAGCTTCTTGAGCTAGTGGATTTGTTAAGTGTCCCCTAAAGTGAAAACAAAACAAAAACAAAAAGGTTAATGTCTTAATACAACATGCAAAATAATATAAAAATCAAACCACCAAAACATTACCAGAATTTGAATGGATTAGGAAATAAAATGAACTTTACATATATTCATATGTGTTTCTTTCTTTTTTTAATGTGCAACACAACAGTGTTGGATCATTTAAGAAGATGCTGTTGATGATGTAAGACATTAGCTTTCACAGCCAAAGAACAGGACCAAGATATTCTCTTGATGCGCTAACTATAAGAGATCCAGCGATGGGGAGGTAGGTACTTGCACACCCAGGGTTAAGATTCTGATGTGTGTTGATGGGTCGCATGGAGCAAGAGAACGGGTATTGTGAACTCACCTTAGAAGGTTGTCTTGATACAGCACTTACAAGCTACTGAACCCAAATCCAGGTGGCACTGAAAAATGCGTGGCTGCTTCTTCAGAGACAATGATCCTGGCCGCACAGCTGGTGACCATGGTGTCATGGCTGCCAACGGAGGCACCTAGTGCTGTCCAGTGGCCTACCCAAAGAAATGCTGCACTGAGCACCCCCCGACTTCATTGTGAAACAGGAAAGGAAGGGCCCGGCGTCATGATGCCATCATTCTAACAGAGGGGCCAGTGAATGTATTATTCAGGGCCCAGAAGATACTGAAGGAAACAAGAAATGCCATAGAGCTGTGCTCCTGCTGAAACGGGTACCAACTTTCAAGGCGACAGAGAAAGACCCCAGACAGTGGTTCCCTCCCTGCCCTGGCTTCTCTAGGAAGTATGTTACGGAGCTAACCATATGAGATTCAGTGGTGGGAAGGTAGGTACTTGCAGATTGATGGTTAAGACTTTGATCTGTGTTGTACATGATGCACTTCTTATATGTAAGGATTTAGCACCCCACCATTACAAGTGGTCTACTTTTTTTCATAAGAAATGCCCACTATTTCTTTGAAATAGTCCTCCTCAGCTGTGGCACAGACTTGGGGAGAAAAAAAAGCCAGGAGAACCACAAACTTTTGATCAGAGCCTTAAGTCTGGTATAACTTGCCAGATTTCATGCCTGAGTCAGAAGGCAGCTTTTGTACATCCAAGTTGACCATCAGGCCAGCCTTTGTCATGTCCGAGATGACTGTGGGTCTGCCTTAATCCTGCTCTCTGCCCCTCGCTAACTTCCTGAGGATTTTAAGAATCCTACAGGATAAATATGGTAACTCATGTCTCTCCTTTAGCCTATAAAATAAAAATGTAGTTTGTAAAATCAGGTAATTACAGATCTCACATGATATAGGCTATTATGCTGTTTTGTTTAGGAAGGGTTTTTTTTCCCCCTTAACTGCATAAAGTTATACAAAAGCAGTCTGTTGTCAGGGAGAAACTTGACTAACAAGATTAGGAGATTATATTCTTTTGCTGTCAGATGCCTAACCAAAACTGATATGTAATGTACTTAGATTAGGCTCATGTTTTAATCAAGCATACAAAATCCCCCATCCCACACCGGAAGTAGCTGTTTCTGCTTTTCATTTATTGCAAATATTCATAAAATATATTCAAAGGAAAATCACATTACATGTAACATTGTAATAGCCCATTTTATAATTTAAAAATTATTTGGTTTATTTAACTGTTAACAAGCGAATCTATATTTACTCATCAAAGAGTTATATAGTAAGGTGTGACAGGCACTGACAAGGTTAAGAAAACAGAACTAAGCCAATTTAGGTACATTTTTTATATGTGCTAGAAAAACTATTCCCAAATCATTTGTGTTTATAATTTTTAAAATTTTACCAGCTGTATCATATGTAAACATATATTTGAAAGACCTGTGGCCACTATTATTAAAATAACTCATAAAACTACTACCTTGTTTGAATGTCAAGGACATTCTGTGTGATTTTCCCAATAGCTGGAGTTAATGCAAGCATATTTTTTACTGAAGAATTTATCTTTCGCAAAATTCTCTACTTTTCATTTAGATTACAGCATCATTTCCCCAAATTCCTGACTCTGGTGTGCTACCCCCTCATCGCACCTGATGCTGAAGGAATCCATTTTCTAAGTCCTAATCCTTGAATCCCGATCTTTTTTCTCTATTCGCTGACTGTTAGGTTTGATCCAGCTCATATATAGGTAAACTTCAAATATGGAGGAAATTCTGGAGGAAAGAAAGGTTTCTGCATAGGACTCTCAACTGAAATGATCAAGGAGCTCAGCTGATGAAGTACCAACATTGTTTTAATGATCTATTTATATTGTAATCATAGATTTTTGAGAATCAGAAATTACCTAGGAAGCCCTGTGATATGTACAATTCCTTCACTTTAGAGGGAAGGGAATTCAAGCTCAGTGAGCCTCAGGGTTTGGGCCCGGTACCACGATAAGGTAGGGCTCTAGAGGGCTGGGCCTTGAACGTAGCCCTCCGAATTCCCAAAGCAGCACTCTATTTCTACTTCAAACCACCTCGATCATTTAACAATCTTAGTCCCTGGGTTAGTTAAATGTTCATAATACTGACTAATCTAATTCCCAGGTGGCAAAATTCACTAGTCAACAATTCCTGGATACTTTCAAAAACTGAAGATGTTCGAGAAAGACCTACAAGAAAATTTTTTTAAATGCTGTTTTTGTTTCTTTGATGGTGAGGCAACTGAACTTGAAAAGAGACTTTGAGATTAATTTGTATTGATTTAATCTTCAGAAATTGCCACTTCCACTTCAAGTGACTTTTAAATCACTGGGAAGACTCAAGGGGTTTCTAACACCTCAAAACCCTATGTGACTACGAGAACTGAACTACATGTATTTTTTTTAATCTACAATATACACAGCTTTAAAAATTAAGTATAAATAGGCTTGGAAAAATGAGTTCAGTCAACATGGAGACTTTAAAAATTGGCTTCAAAACTATACATCTCAAAACAGAGTGAGGTTTTCCAAGGGAGAGGTTTGTTCTCCACCCATGAGCTAACTTTCAGCAATAGGCCAAATCTCTAAGGGTGGATATCCTTCACAATGCAGGTCACATTTCATTTCAGCAAAAACACCCCCACACTGAGTTTAGTCGTGGTTTCGGTTCTACAATCTAACTGAACAGGGTGCTTCTCGGTTTCGTGGCATGTCTGGGAACAGGTGTTCGCTTTCCACCATGGGGCAATGTCTGTAGGCTTTTCGTGTTCTTTTCAAGTTTGTTTCTCACACACCACAACTGTGAGGCTGGTGTCGTGTGCTTTGTTGGATACTAACTCTGATAATCCTAACAGTCTGAACTCCAGCAAGAAGCACCAAAATGGTCCCACCTGATAGGGGTTTCCTTTCTCTCTCTTACTAGCAGTTGTATGGTTTCTTGGCATCAAGTGACTGGAAGTTACAAATGATCTATCAGTTCTCAAAGGAACTTCTATGGGGGGAGCAGAGAGTTTCCATTTGGCAAAGAAGAGTAGTGGGGAACACTGTGAGTTCTACTTTATAAAAAAAATTTCATGCAAAGAAATAGTGTCCGAATAACAGCTATTGTGATAGATCAATGCCAGATAAGGCAGAGAAATCAAATGTTAAATCCAGAGCACGGAGGACTAGGGCAATTTGCAGGAAAAAAAGACATTTTGACAATTCTTATAATTTGTCAATTATTTCACAAAAACCTACTTCACAAATTTCTCTCCTTAAAGTGGCACAAAATTATAGTGAACTAGGACTGTACAGTGAATATGATCTTTAAGAGCAACGCTACATTTCGGTACATTTGCTACCATCATGCGTTATCACGGAGTGGGATATTCATATGTATCTCATACAGATGTCTAGTTTTTCAAATAAACCTAAATTTTAAAAAGTCAAACTCAGTTTACTCTTTCACTGATGATCAGAACTTTGCTCTTGAACCTCACAGTACCTGTGGAAACATCCTCATGAACAGGAATTAGGATTATAATGCAGAGACAACCAAAGGGACTCTCATACAGAGTTCTCCTTAACAAAACACTGGATCACAACATTTTTCTCATCAAAGAACCCATTAGATAACAGCCAAATACTTTTTCAGTGGTTTTAATACTTTCCTCTGTAGGCAGACCACCACTGTGAGCCATGCTATCCCTCTCTCTAGTACTAATTCCACTCACCTAAAACTAAAGCAAACTAATTAAGCCATTCTGAGTTAAGTCTACTGTTTTGTGCTTGACGAAAATAATTTTGTTTGCCACAATTATGGGGATGTCTACATGCAATGCATAATTAGCACAGTAACAACAAACATGGGAATATTAGTTCCGCACCTCCGCCCCCATGTTTACTGACTTACTGTGCATAATCACTGGTGTTGAGACTGTAACAGGATCTGAGAATGGGGCTCTTAGTATCTGAAACATTTTCTGTGTGAGGCGTTTGTCTCTGACAGCAACTGCTGAACAGGGCAGTACTCATTTATTCTGCTGGCTGGCAAAAGCTCATATTTTGGAAAGAAGAAATATTAACTAGAGATGGGCATTAAGTGTGTTCTCCAAAGAATATGAATTACTTTTAGAAAGTGAAATTAGTAACATAAAGGGACTTTTATTTTATTCTCCAATTTACCATCAAATAATTTTTTAAACTGTGAGGAAAAGCAGACTTACAGCCCTGATACTAACATATATGGGTAGGGGTTCACATTTACATGTAGGTGCCAAGAATTCCACGTTCATGCCCCAAAGTTAAGCACTGTCCATGTCAGACACTCTACTATATTTCTGTTATTAATAAGCATGTACTGATCCTCACATCTGGCCAGATATTTTATCTTCAAGCTGTAATTCATGGGTGGGAGGGCAAAACCTGAAAAAAATGGTTTTGGTGAAAGTGTAACCATTCTTTTAGAATAGAAACAGCATAGTATTGACACATCATTAACATACCAACAAAGGAGTCCATGACACAATCAAGTAAACTATCAAAAGAAACGATGCTTATTGGAAACAGAAACAAAACACATCAAAACCAATTATTCATAAAAATAAGATTTCAAAAATATACTTTCATTTTCCCATTAACTAAATAATAAACTGAGATCTATTCTTACCAGTATTCCTTTTAATTCATTCACGGCACTTTCAGAGCCTTTGGGAGGTTCTGGCTACAATTTTAAAAAGAGAAAAAATTCCTGAGTAAATCAGTTTTAAAATACTGAACAAAGATTTTTACATGGCAAAGTGTTGGTAGCTTATATTGACTATATATGTCTTTAATTACGTCTATGTCTTAGTTAGAAAAAATATTAGACATGTTAGTGCTTCCAAGTGTCGGTTACATTAAAAATTAGAAGTAATACTCAAAGCAAAAAGGTCTCAAGCTACCATTTTCTAAATATCATTTTGATAAGAGTATCACCATCATACATAGAAAAGATCTGGTAGATACCAGATTTCAAAGACTTAATTCCAAATGACTCCGAATTTTTTACAATAAACTTTTCTCCACTCGCATTGCCAGGCTTCTGCCAGAAAGTGAGGAAGAGGAAGGCAGCAGAGCAGAAAGCAAACGACAGGGCAGGAAACCTCTCTCAGCTCTGTTAGCTCCAGGCGAGAGCCAGCAGACAGGGGACAGGCACATCTCGTGTCATGAATACACAACAGGAGCGGGTTGGGAAGAGGGACCAGCAAAGCATCTCTGGGTATCAAGTAAAAGCCCTCAGAGGGTGTGTGGTCCAATCACTTCACCTCGCTTATGAGGAAAGCCACACACTGAGGAAGCCTATATTTGAGTCCATGTCTTGATTACAAGCTCAGTTCTCTTCCAGCTACGCCATGAACAAAATGATCTGAAATTAAGTTCTGGGTAACATTCACCTGCCCCATAATACCTAACAGTCTCTGTGGATTTAATGGAGGGAAAATTTGGCATGAGGCCCTCATGAAAAAGAAGAACCAAAAAGACCTCTGATCTCCCCTGTTAAACCTCCTTAGAGATGAAGAGGAACCCTGCGAGACACCGTGAAACGGCCCCTCGGGACTCCATTCCTGGAAAACACGAAAGGCTAGTTTCTCTCTTATCAAGAAATGGGAGGTGGGCCAGCCGAGTGACGCGATGGTTAAGAGCTGGCTTGGGACGCCACAGGGCCCGTTTCGGATCCCACATATGAGGGCCAGTGACACTGCCCTCCACAGCTAAGATGCTGAACAACAGCTCAACCTGGAGCTGGGCTGCTATGAGTCGCTGGCGACGGCGTAAGCTGCAGTCCCTGCGGCAGTGGGTTGCCATGGGCTACCGTGTGTAGCCAGCAGCCAGCGTGAACGGCCATCCAGAAGCCGGCGACTGATCTGCCTCGCCCGGGAAGAGCGCAATGATGGTGCCAACTTGGGCCAGTGAAGCAACGTCCTCCACAACTAGACTGAAGAACAAAAAGGACAGCAACTTGTCTGCTCCCCTTCCCCCAATTCCCCAGCGCTGTTCCCATTCCCCAATTCCCCAATAAAAATCTTTAAAAAAAAAAAAAAAGGAAAAGAAAAAGAAATGGGAGGTGATTCATAGCAGCCTGTAATGCTTTCCTCTCCAAGAAAAGAATGAGACTCTTTCCAATTTTTTTTTAATGAATAATAAGAGAAAAAAAGTGTGTGAGAGAGGGAGGTTTCCTGCTCATGTACAAATTGGACTAAGACGTTTAACTCCCACAGTCTAGGTTTTCTGTGAAATATACATGCCATCAGAGCCAGTTGTAAGTGCCAGTCAAAAGCTCAAAGACACTAATTTTAGCCAAACCAGCACCACCAGCAATATCAAGGAATTTAGGGGAAAGAAAATGCAGTTAAATCCGTGTTCTCAAAGCAGGCTTGACTTCTGAACAAACACCCTGGCTAAACGCATACTCAAAAGTGTCGCCATGCCACTCAAGGTGCCCTCTGGGAGCACAGGCCTTTGAAGCCTGGACCACATCCACTCGTCCTTGTGACATGGCAGGAAAGCACTGCAGGTCCTGGGGGGAGAAGCTGGCACTCAGGCATGCAGTGGCCATTTGTTTTAAAGGCTATCCACCAGGCCATTCATCACTCCACCTACATAGTTCAATGATGACCAGCGAAAAACCCACTCGTCTGCTGGTCCTTGTTCAGTGGTCTTCCAGGTTTTGAATGGACATTAAATAATGTGTAACTGTTGGAAGAGTCATGGCAAGAAAGAAAAAGGACACAGTGATGCTCTGGAAATGAAAGTACCTGTGGAGCATTGATTGCTTAGGATTTAAGAAGTTTTCAACATTCTTCTTTCTAAACTCCTTCTGCTTCTTTATGACATTGCTTTTTTTGTCTCTCTCTAGTAACAGCTTGGTTTTGCCTATTCTTTTCAAAATACTTGGGCCATGAAAATCATAAAAATGTATTCTTTTCAAAGGTTCCACTTAGACCTTACATGTTCAAGTGTCTTCACTCTTTATTCCATTTGATCCTGACAACCCTGTGTGTCAGGTAAGTCTCCCCGCCATTCCCATTTTGGGGAGAAAAAAAGGCTGGGAAGCTGGGATAGTGCAAAGGCCCCCAACTCCAACTGCTCTTCACTTGCTCACCAGACATCAGCCCGGAAACAGGTGTGCCAGACTGCCTACACGCTAAGCTTCTCTTCTAGTTCTGCATTCTGTCCCTGACTTAGAAAACTGCTTTCAGAGCACTCGCTCCCAGCTGAACATGGTTGGCCCAACTTGCCATTTCAGTCTTGGAGCTGAGTATGGTTTCTGTCTTTCCAAACCCCTTTCCACAGACAGCCCATCCTGCCTTGCCCAGCTCTCTTGCCTGCCTGTGACAAAGGGGCAACTTTAAAAGCCCAGCAAAATTGGTGCTAAACAGTCATGATACTTGGGGACATCGAAGCAGTTGAAGAGGGCATCCTTGAGAGTAAGACAGAACCATAAAGTTTGGTTTAAAAGGAGAACCAATCTGCTGGTACCTTATACAGGGAGGAAAAAACCATTTTCAAGGAAAACGTCAAAAATTCTATTATTGGTTCTACTGAAATGGGACAGATATACAAAGGGAAGGGAGAAGTACTGAACTAGACTCTAGGTGCTTCGATACCTCCTAGTGCTCACTGTGGTCATCAACTTTAGAAGACACACACACACACACATATATACAAAATTTTCTCCTTGAAGGGACCTGGAGGAGGTTTGTGAAATTAGTGAATTCACAATCATAAATCTCACCATTTTCCAAAAGTTGTCTTAGGTCTCGTCTGCCATGATTATGTAACCCACCCCCACCCCCAGCGTTCCCTCCCCCACGTACTAAAATAGAAGCCTCAGGTAGGCAAGGATTTTCCCCTCACCTATTTACTGCTGTATCCCCAGTGCCTAAAATAGTATCTGATACATAGTAGATATTCAATAACTACTTGTAAAATTATACGAAAGAACCAGGAATTAAAGAAAAGAAACAGTGTAATAATTGTTGTTTGTTTGGTATAACAGTTCATATCAGTGAGCTGATGACAGCACTGCGGTAAGAGGACTTATTTCTACACTGCTTTAGGTCTCCCGTGGGTCAGAGTCCTCCTGAAACACACTGTTATGGAAGTAAAGGCTTTGATGACACATTAGCTTTAGCCTAAGATTTGAAAGTCCTGATGTAGCTTGCATCGCATTTCAAAATTTTACATTTGGAAAAAAAACACACAAAAAAACATCAAGAGAGAGAAAAAGCATTTCGTCATTCCATACCTTTGCCTTCGGTCTAGCTGTCTGATTAACTGGTCTAAGATGAACTCCCTTTTTAATTCTATCCATCATCTCTTCAACTGCTTGTCTCTTCAGATCTGTGACTTCTTCAGCTATTCAAAGAGCACACACATAAATCATCTTATGTTACAAGAAAACAGCTACTTCCTAGTTTTTGGTGACTACAAAAGATTGCATTATGTAATTAGCCACAGTCACTTTTCAGGAAAGTCACAAAATGCCAACAATTTAAGGTTAACAGCTATCAGGTAGCAACATATTCTTCATTAAAAAAATGTTTAATAAAAGATCTGCTTTAAAAATTAAGAGTTATAGAGGGCCGGCCGAGTGGCTCAGTTGGTTAAGAGCTCACTCAAGAGTGCAAGCTCTGAGCAACAGTGGTTCGAGTCCCAGCCAGAGCTGAGCTGCCGCTGAGCTGCCAACAGGTGGCAGGATGGCTTAGCTAAAACAAAAATAATAATTTTTTTTTTAATTAAGAGTTATAAGTTTTAAGGTCCAATTTGTAGCCTGGAAATCAATCCTGGCTCATCATGTTAAACAATTAAAGTGGATTTTGTTCCATTTGTCAGCATAATCACAGATAATTTCTACAAGTCTTTAAAAACCAAACTTTGTAACTAACCCCAAATAATCATTCATCTTTGTCTCAAAGATATTTTTATAACTTATATAGTATACCACATGTAAGAGAAATCAGCCCAAAGAAGAAATAACTATTAAAACGCCCACTTGAAAATAAAAGAGCAAAGAGATCTTTTACTTATTGAAAGAAATTCAGTCAAAAGATGAGCAGCAAATAGGTAAAATCTATTTTTAAATTGCCATCTTTTGTTTAGGAATCACATGGGAAGGAAACATTTAAGCAAACCTTTTTCCACTCTTTTAAAATTGTCGATGTTAAAAGAAAACATACGTTCAAAAATGACTGCAATTAAATTCAATTTAAAAATTTCAACTGTCTATTGTCTAACCTTTGCATGATTTTGCTGCAAAAACAATACATCTGTTGCAACACGCATCAATGAGATGAGTGCAACAGCGGTGAGCTTCAACCTGTTGATCAGAATAGTGAAATTTCTCTCTCTCGCAGAAGAGAGCCTGACCAAAAGCAATGAACCATTTCTGGAATACTTATCATTATTAATACAATTCTAGATCTTGTGTTCACCACCATTTAACTTGCTGCAGCCAATACATTTAAGGTTAAATATCTCATAAAGGCCTTCCAATTAGCATCTTTAATTAATAAGACTCCAAGTGGTGGGGCATATGGTGGACACTCAACAAGTATCTCCTTACTGACTGACTTGTAAAGTTTTGGCTTAAAGGATTATGAATATTTTTACTATTTGACCAGAAATAACTGGACCCAAAAGGCTGACTTCTAAGTGAAGGCAATCACAGCTAGATCCCCAAGCTAATTAACAGTTGTGGCAGGCTTTGCCCTAAGACCTAAATCATGGCTTCTTTTTCTGCTGCATGGCTGGAGTTCACGAATCCAGGGTGGCTAGTCCTCTGATACACATGCTTGAGGAGCAGCTCCAAGAGTCCAGAAGGTTCCATTATCCTCACCGCCACAGCACCACAGCGATGGGATCATTGCCACATTCATGGTATAACCTAGGTGGTCTGATACAGTCCTGACTCCAAATAGCGCCATGTCATCCTCACAAGCCATTGCAATGCTGGGAATTAAATTTTTCTCAGTATCTAAACAGCCTTTTTCAGATCCAGAAGTCAAAAGAGTATGTTTGGCCAGGCAAAGTGGGGAAACCCAGCACCAAAGTCAGCCTTCATCCACCAGTACATGAAAAAGGCAAAACTGTGGGTTGATCAACTACGTGCCCGTAAGCGGCACCTTCTCGGGCAGCTGCTGCTGGTGGTTCACACACATCCACAAGGGGACAGACAAGAAAAATGACCACGGATAGAAATTCATTCATTTGCTCACTCACTCGCTCATTTAATATCTGAGTATCTATTATATACTACACGGTGCTTTTGCTGACCTTATTCACAATCAGGGGAGATACAATCCAGATCTGTCATTCGAGCACCTGGTATGGGTATGCAATTTTTTCTTGGGTATTTAAAAAAAAACAAAACAACCTTCAAAAAACATTCGATTTTCAAAAACGCTGCCATTTTGAGTGCGACTTGGGAAGAGCTGCATGGCAACAGGAATACCGCCTACAAACAGATTAGCACGCTGTAAGGAATGACTGAAACCCAATTAAATGCACCATACAAAAACTAATTAAAGCAGACAGATGGAGAATTATGGTCAACACCATTCAAATCTGCTGCTGCATCTAACATAGCAGGAATTTAAAGTAGTTTCTTATTTTTGCTTGCCAGAATCATAGTGATAATTCAGAGAAGTGCCACTATCTGTATTGTGTACAGATTACAAACCAGGCTTTTAATTTCTCAGTCTTTTTCAAATGTAAAGGCTTAATTGGTCTTAAGGAAAAGAAATCATTCTTATCAGATTCCCTACTCGGGCACAATACGAGGGCAACGCTAGGTTAGCCACACAAGCTTTCTCTCTCACTGGCCTTGTTTTTGAACTAGCAAAAAGCAATCTATACGAACTTCTAAACTATTAAGCGGTTCTAATAAATCTGCAAGAATCACCAACGGAGAGTTCCTGGTATGTTTTGTAATTCTTTCTGCAGTCACGCAGCTGGTAATTGTCTCACAGAAGCATGTAATCAGGGGAACAATAGAAATATGCAGGATACTGGAAATTAAAGAAAAGGGACAAATGAAGACAACAGGTCTAATGTTATTGAACTGCCACGGGAAAATAAAATCAAATGTTCTTTGAGTGAGTGCTTCAAGGTCATTCTTGGATCAGAAAGCTACATGTAATTAATTGAGGCTTAAATTTTAAGACCCACTTCAAAAATAAGTTAGTTCCTTTAAAGAAAAAAGACCCACAGACAAAACCATCACCTTGTTGCTCAATAAAATCTTTTATTACCTAGAAGAAACTACAATGAGTGTCTAAATGCCACAGGATTACTTTTCTCTTTCACTAACATTTTTTTAAATGCCACCATGATGTACAAAATCTCTAAAGAACACATTATGGTTGAAAACCTTTGAATATGACCTTAGGTCATATAATTTCCTTAACTGCAGTGATTACAAGAACCTGCTAAATGAGGACTTCTGCCCCTCCGAGGGTGGTGAGTACCCTGTCCATTTTTTTTTTTTAGCTAACATTTTGGGAATTGTCTATGTGCTAAGTACTACTCTAAATGCTTGACATCTGTGAGACTCATTATTTCTCACGACAACCCTATGAAACAGGAACTACTATTACCCCCATTCTGCAGATTAGCAAACTGAGGTAAGGAAACACCAACAAATTAATGACCTAAACATGTGACAAACAGCAGGCATACCTCTGAAATCTCAGAACCTGTCCAATAAATGCATTCTTGTCAAAATTAGAATTATTAACTTCCAAGTCTAATGATTTCTCATATTTAGACATTAAAACTACTTCTAAAATATTCCACAGACCTTCTCTACAATCAAGTTTTTGAAGAGCCATAACCTAACAACAAAAGTTCCTCCATTCCTAAGCTCTGAAAAACACACCACTGTACACAGCACAAACCACCGTAACATGTTAACATTAAGACGACACTGGGGTAGCAAGGCAGTCCCTACATTATAAATTCAAACTCCAAAGTGTCACAGATAACCGCAGTGTTTGATGTTCTACATTCATTCACTATGCATTTAATTATTATTGATGTACTCATTCAAAAACAATTTTTTAGTGTGAACTATTAACAAGACACTATAAGTAATAACTACGTCACCATTGAGGCTCCAGGCACGTTGTGGCTGTGGTCCGTATCATTTGAGGCAGTATGATTTTAGGGTGGTTCCAGTTTAAAGTCTCATGAGCAACTTCTGTGTCATAACTCTACTTAGATTCCCAAAGGTACAATCCAATAGCTCCAATAGCTCAAAATGAGGGAGACAATATCACACCATTTCATGAACAGTAAATGAAACATTATTTTCCTAAAGAAAACTGTATGGTTTCTAACATCAGGGGTTAATCAGTTCTAGAACACTGTTTTTAAATTTAAGGGTGCTGTTGAGGTTGACACGCTAATAATGTAATTGACTTAGAAGGGAAAATCATTTTGTTCTGACTGCCCTCCTAACCCTCCAAGACTTACCAATTATCCCAAAATAAGATCGGAACACACAGAATTTTAATTACAGTGTCAGGGAAGGTGTATAGCCAGGAACACAGAAGCGGGATGGTCCTGCAAATCACCAAGGGCAGGCCTTTTTCTGAATCCTCCAATACCTTGTGCAAAGCAAGGTTTGCCTCTGAGCTACATGACTATGCAGAGGAATCGAGTCCAAAGGGCTACAGGAGGCGGGCAAAGAAAGGCAGTTCATACGGAGGAAATGAAACAGCTTTCGTCTGTAATGGGGCTGCGAGGCTCTGGCTAAGAAAGAACACTCTAAATCTAAACTTGGGTTCCTTCTATATGCATGAAAGCTGTGAGAGGCTGCAGAAAGGGGTACACCCTCCAAGTGTGTGATCTGCTGGTGGGAGGGCGGGAGATGTGGACATAACTGGGACATCCGAGCAGAGGCTGGGGGCTGGGGCATTAATTCCTTACAGTAACACAAGTGAAAAACTCTGTCTCAGTCTCTCTCTCTCTCTCTCTCTCTCCAACTCCATCTCCACCTGAGGGAACCCCTGGACCTGTGGAAGCTGGTTTCCCCAGTGGGACAGGCGTAATGAGACATGAGGCTGAAGTAAAAGCACACCACTGTGTATATGCAGACTATGAGAGCGTCTGGGTTCTACGCTGATGCAGAGAGAGGCACAGAACGTCAGACACATGATTGGACCTGAGTCGCCTCACTGCCAACGATATGAAAACGTCTGGGCTGGAGCAATGAAACCTGGAGGCAGGAAAAGGGGGCCAAGAAGTTTAGACGAGTCTGGGCTTGAACCAGGCAAATCTACCACGCTTCGTCACAACTAACAGGTGTTGGGCAAACATTGTTGAATTTAAAGTGGGTTCCCCAGTTCTCAGGCACAAAGGCCCAAGACCTGCCCCAGCACTGTAAGCTTTTGCTCTCACCGTGGCTGCACACCAAACTGCCCACGGCTCTGAGCTGACTGTGCCTGGCCACCCGGGGCCCCTGCTCAACAGGAAAGCCCTTCTCCCCTCCATTGCCACCTCTTTATATTGTCCTCAACACCTCCCTCCCTCTCCAATGAATCACAGTCTTGTGAATTTTACCTCCCTGAACAGTTCCTGAATTTTCCCATGTCTATCTCAGCTGCTACCACCCTTGTTGGAACCACCATCAATCAACATTCATCTGAATGACTGTAAGTCTCCCTTCATCCATTCTCATTCCTTTACAGTCTGTTCTGTTCTCTCACAGCAGCAGGTGCTATGTTTTTTATAAGATGAATCTCACCATGTTACACCCTTACTTAAAATTTCTACTGCCCTTAGGGTAAATTTCAAAACCTTGACCACAGCCCCCAGCATCTGGCTCCTGTCTACCTATCAGACCTAAGTTCCAGTCATACCAACTTTCCTTCAGTTTCCTAATATGCCAGCGTCCTTCCCCACTTTGGACCTTTGAATCTGCTGCCCCTCTCTGTGAACTATCTTTATCCTAAATACCCTCACCTTGACTTTCTAAATCCACAACAGCACAGCTTAACCATCACTTTCTTTTTTTCTTTTTTTTTTAGCTGAGCCATCCTGCCGCCTGTTGGCAGCTCAGCGGCAGCTCAGCTCGGGCCGGGCATCAAACCACTGTTGCTCAGAGCTCGCACTCTCGAGCAAGCTCTTAACTTAACCATCACTTTCTGACACCAGCGGTTCAACCCCACAACCACTTAGACTTGTACTCCTCCTCCACTGATCAAATACTGTACTGAAATAATTATATATTTAATTGGGTGATTACCTCTTTACTTCCTGTCTCCCCCCATTCAAATGTAACTCCTGTGCCGTGTACCTCCAGAGCACAGCACTGTAGTACATGGTAGGTGCCTGATAAAGTCCCAGTTCATTTGCTATCAACCCTAAAAAGCCCTTCCCCAAAGACCCGCATTTGGAATTACTCCCTCTCTTTCCTTTACACCCAAAGTACCTCGTCCCTTCATGAAAACTCATTTCCCAGCATACTTCAGTACAGGGACACGTGCCCGGGTTTCCCTGCTCTAGACAATAAGGTACGTGAAGGCAATGACTGTTACCTGGTTCATTCTTATAGCTGGGAAGTTCTCATTTCTCCTGTGATAATTTGTTCAGAGTCAAAGAACTCAGCAAATGTGAACTGGTGAAAATTATCGACCATCAGTCACTGAACGTAAAGCAATGAGGGTGAGAATTACCTGTTTCTGGTTGAGCTGCCTTTTCTTTCTTAGCACCACTGCCACTGGGGTGGGATCGCTTCCGGATCATGGACATGAGGGATCTTTGGGAGAAAGAAAAAGATCGACAGGAGATTACTGGATGCCTGATGACCCAAGAAACAACATGTATCGATTCTAAATGATCAGTAAAATCCAACTCTTCTCTCGGTGCATGAATGTACAACTAGAATTTAAGTAGAATTTCCACTTTTAATAAATTAGTAAATGTTTCATCATTTTAAGGCATAGAAAAGTGTCTCAGCCCTCTATGTGTGAAAACAAACAAATTACTGGAATATGGGGACCACTGTAATTATTAATACAATGCATAGACATTTACAAAGTAAAAGAGATACAGAAAAAATTTCAATGTCCATATGTAAAATTCAGAAATAGCTTTCTTAGTAATACCTTTGAGGGAGAGGGAAGGATGAGAGAATCAGGGGATGTTTTTGGTAAATAGCTGTTTGTGAAATATGGGCAGAAAAACATGTGAATCTGCACAACACTGACCACATATTTAAGGGATAAAACAGACTTAGGCCACTGTTTCCCTGGTCCATATTTTTAAAATCTGTATAAAATCCAAATCATGATAAATTTGACATTATAATTTTAAAACCTCCATATAGTAAAAGACACCATAAAGAATAAAAAGAAATTCTATAAATTAATGAGAAAAAGCAGATACGATGAGAAAAAAAGAAACAGAAGCATGAACAAAACCTTTAAAACTCCATAAAAGACAATGTCCAAATTGCCCATACACATACCCAAAAGGTACCTGACTTCATTAGTTATCAGGAAAATACAAATGAAACCCACACTGAGATATTACTACACACTCATCAAATAAGCAAGAAATTTTACATCTGATTATATCAAGTGTTAGTGGATTTGTGGAATAACAGGAGTTCTCCAACTGAAGAAGGTGTATAAATTGACAGTACCACTTTAGAAAACAGTTTAGTATTATCCAGTGGAGCTGAAGATACACGTAGTCTATGAGCCAATAATTCCACTTCTGTGTATCTTACAGAAATACAAGCACCAGGATACATGTACAAGAATGTCCATGTAGAATTTCCATGATTTCCCTGAACTGATAATAACTCAATGACTATCAGTGCCACGATGGACAAACATTTTGGACATTCATAAAATGGATTATCAATGAATATGAATGAACTTTAGCTACACAAAATAACTTGAATATTACAAAATAGAGTGAAAAGAACAAGACACAAATGAATACAGCAAAATTCCAACTATATCGTTTTTAAAAAGCACGCCACACACACACACACACACACACACACACACATTGTGTGCGTGTGCGTGTGCGCTTTAAATCCCTCTACTTTAGGGGTGTGTGTGTGTGTGTGTGTGTGTGTGTGTGTGTGTCCCTATAATTTAGAGATATAGAGGCCGAGTGGCTAGGTTGGTTAAGAGCTCGCTCAAGAGTGTGAGCTCTGAGAAACAGCGGCTCAATTCCCGGCCCGAGCTGAGCAGCCGCTGAGTAGCCGCTGAGCTGCCAACAAGTGGCAGGATGGCTCAGCTTAAAAACAAAACAAAACACTTTCCTTTAAAAAAAGGATAAAAGTAAAAGACGAGGGTACCAGCAATGTTCTATTTCTTGATTTAGACAGTGATTATATGAATGCTCACTTTGTATTATGTTTAAATGATACATAAGTTTGTATACATTTCTACAATGTTATCATTCACCTGGAAAAAGTTTACAGAGAAAACACACAAAAGAATCAACAATTCTTGAATTCTTTCAACTATATTACAAATGTCCTCAGTATGGTAAACTGGATTTCACAAAATACAGTCCTGAGAAAGACAAGCTGGGAAGCCAGCAATGGAGGACAGGAAAGGCATAGCGTTGCCTCTAGGAAAAGGGGCAACTGGATACACAGTAACACTTGCTCAGGACAGAACAACCCAATGCTTCTTAATTACTGTGATTTTTAGATTTTTTTTTTTTTTTTTACTTCTCACTTCTACCTTTGGTTATATTATTAATCCCTCTCTTATGTGCCTTTTCTTAAGATTCCCAAATGCACAGACCATCTCCCACAATGCACACTAAAAATGCAGCGCCTCATCCTGCTCTACCCTGTGAAGCTTCCCGGACTCACCAACTGAGCAACAAGCCATCTCTGGGCTTCAGACTTCATCTAATTTGTCTTCTTTGGGCTCATAGTAGCCCAAAATGGAATTAGATTATTTTCACAAAAGTTACAAATTCTAATTCACAAAGAACTTTAAAATAAGCACATTTTATTTGAGAAATCAGGAAGAATGAAACAACGCAAAGATTATTTGCTCACTTTTTTCTATTCTGTCAACTCAAGGCAGGACTAGTCAAGGTCTGCTGGCAGACACTTCATAGCCGGGTGGCACTGGTGGGGGAGGGGGGTTGTCACAAAGCAGAGGCTCTCCTTCTCTCACGTCACTCTACAATGACCCCTCCTCTGGTTCTCAGGGGAGATTTTCAGAGTGTGTATTGGTGTACATCAAGATTACAAAGCAGGAAGTTATTTGTACTACTTGAATATTTGTATATATTTACATAAATAAAATAAGAATATATATGGTCATCACTGCAAACCACCGAAGTAGATGAAAGCGCTACCTTTAAAAGTTCTGAATAGAAGTATAAGTTGGAGGTTGATATGGTACCCAGAGAAAATCATATATAATATTAAAAATAAGCCATCTGTCAAGATGGGGCATAGACCACAGAAAATAAACAGAGTGGGTCTCACAGGACACATGAGAAGACCAGGTGACACATCTGCAACCAATAATCCAAACCGCTGTCTAAAATCACCCCATTTCACAGCCACTTTTATCAATTACATAGATAAAAGCTTCAAGCACGTGTCCCCCAAAGACAGAACAATTCAATGAAGAATATTCACCTTGGAATTCTTAAAGTGTTCGTCATGCCACCCTGTGATGTTTAATTTGATGAGTCAACTTGACTGGGTCACAGGGTACTCATATACATGGTCAAACATGATTCTGGGTGTTTCTGAGAGGGTTTTGGATGAGATTAACATTTAAACTGGCAATCTGAGTAAAGCAGATTGCCTTCCCTAAAGTGAGTGGGCCTCATCCCATCAGTTGAAAGCCAGAATAGAACAGAAGGGTGACCCCTCCCTCAAGTGAGAGAGAATTCCTCCTGCCTCACTGCCTTGAAACTAGGACATCTGTTTTTTTCCTGCCTTCAGATTCAAACTGAAACACTGCCTCTTCTGGATCTTGAGGTGCTGACCATCAGACAGAAACTATACCACCAGCTGTCCTGAGTCTCCGGCTTGCTGACTCACCCTGCAGAGCCTGGGACTTGTCAGCATCCATAATAATGTGAATCAGTTCCTTAGAATAAATCTCTGCTTATGTATATGTGTATGATGTATGTGTATGTATGTTATGTCTGTATGTATACATACACTCATTTTATATATATATATACACACACACACACACCATCTTGGTTCCGTTTCTCTGGAAAACTCTAATACACTAATGATACCAGCCAAACGAAAGGGCTGCTCACTATTAAAAAAAAACCTCTAAATTTCCTTTTCCCTAGTGTTTTGGTTCTGTAGCCCCTGGTCATAATCATTTTTCAAATCAGTTTCTTAATCATAAACAATAGGTTGTTTTTAACCTGAATCATAGAAATCTCCTGCCCCCTGCTTTAGATAATTACCCTAAAGCTTGTGATTAATGTCTGTTGACTATGGTTAACAGCGTTCTTTCCAGGCCCAGCTCCCAGGTGAACAATAACTGAATGACCCGTTAAACCAGAAGAAAGGCCAAGTTCCATGAAGCTCAACACATTTTTCATCACGCAGTCACCCTGCGTCAATGGCTTTGAATCCTGCTTCTTGGGCCAACACTTTTAACTAAAATCTCTCTCTCCTCATCCAGGGGCCAATGGGATACAAATGATGCCCCAGCAGGACTGCCAGTACCTCCCGACCAAAGAGGTCAACATGGTCCCCCAGGCGGATCCTGAGGCCCCTTGACTTCATCTAAGATCAGATAGGGTGAAAGTCCCGTGGATCCTCAATAGGTAGGGACAACGGCCACATTCAGCAGGAAGCAGATACAGAAGAGATCTCCTGTCCCTCAACTTCCCATAGAGATTTATGGGAATCACGTCTCTCAAGGAGGACATGAGGCAGGCAGTTAGAGACAGGAATTGGGTCTCCGAGACGCCTGGATACGTCAGGTAACATTCCTGCACGTCCAACCTGGCCTACAGAAAATAACTTCCCAAAAGACTTCCCCTAACTGCCCAAACTTGCCCTTGTTTACCATGACCATTAGCCACTGTCAATCACAGGTATCAATCAAGCCACCCCACAATTAGAGAGGAGTAGCCCATTCTAGAAGAGAAGGAAATAAAAACTCCCAAGTCCTCACCAGTCAGTGCCTTTTGAGCCACTCTGTTGCTCAGGCCCGCTACTATCTCTTTGGAGTGTACTTTCACTAATAAACTGCTCTTTCACCGCTGTATTTCTGTGTCTCGTCCAATTGTTTGCTCAAGATGCCCAAGAACCTGGACACCGCACCGAGGAGGGTCTGCTCTCCGGTAACACTAACACAACCTACCCTTCCCCCATGAGCCACACTTGCCCAGGACCTGTCCGAACTCCACCACCACAAGTATGAAATGACCAAAGTATGCCTTCTTCCTCTCCTCCCTCTTTCCCCCCATGCTCTAGGTCAGAAGAGCAGGAAAGGACAGACAAGCAATAAAGCCACTTTAAAAAGCCACAGACCTTAGTCTTTTTTTTTTTTCCACTTTCATTTCTATCCGTGATGCACATCAGGTAAAACAAATGGCTCAGGAACAAAGATGGAAAACCTTGATTCGTGGGTTCAAACTCCACTGAAACTCAATACATATGCAAATACATTTCTTTGACAAGAATGTACTCCTTACCAAGAAAAAAATATCTTTCTACTGAGAAATTTTGTCTTATAGTTTTTAATTTCACCTTAGAATAAAAATCATTCATGTTTTCAGTGAAAGTTTTCTTTAAAGGGCCTTATAAAAGAATGCATGCTTTAGACATATAGTCTGAAGCCTACATTCATTCCTCAACATAGCTGTAAAGTGCTCTTTGAAAAAATACTCTAGTTAGGCTATACTTTACTTTTAATTCTAAGGGCTCTCAAGATTTCTGAGACTAAAAATTAAAGGCCAACAGCAAGACTATAATCGCTTTTTAATAGTTCTCCCTCCTCATAGGCAGAAGTGACCTTTCTTATCAGCTCAAAACTCCACACCTTAGAGAAAGATCAAAGTGATGAATTTTCTACTTTAAATGTCAAATTCACAATCTCTCCTACAGATTTAGCAACCCAGGAGAGAAAGAATTTTAAATACTTGAAATTCTTTCAATTGACTCTTGGATCGATCACGTGTAAAAATTATTTTGCTTTAAGTACTTCAGTGGCTTAAAGTAGATTATGTCATATCCCACTCAGTAAGGAAAACTAATGAGAATGTTTTTAAAAGGCAAAGTCCCATTTTCATAGTCGTGTGGGAGGAACATGCTACACATTCTATTCAGATGGATCAGCAAAGGTAGGAGTTTGAATAAATGGCCTCTCTGTGTGAAAGGATTAAACAAATCACATGAGTTAATGAAAGGTAAAAATCTAGCAAAATTTTAAATTCCATTTGTTCAAAGTATAAATTATACAGAAGCAGCTAACATCATGACAGGATGAGGTAAATTGTCACCACCGCAAGTGGATTGATTATCTTACGTAATTCTGCATGCTGGAATGAAAAGGCACAAAGAAGGCAAAATCTGACTCAGTCTCCTAGGGTGCATGTGTGCTCCATTCAGGCACTCAATACCATCAAGTCACCTTAGGCTTCAGAAAAAAGTGAATTCTTGTCTGCATATATGACTTCCTGTCACAAGAATCTAAAAACGATTTCGTCTTCCTATGGAAGGTTCCTCTCTCAGCGTTATTATAGGTTTGAATATAAGGTTAGGGATAAAAAAATAATTAGTACTTTTAGTTTAATTACTAGTTTATAACAATTAGTACTGTTGTTTTCGTTTAGGTTAGTGCTTTTATTTTTACAATCACTGAACTAACCAGAGCTTTTAAATTCAAATTAGTGAGAGGAAAAAAAAAGATGAAAACATTCTAGATAAGCTCTAAATTCCTTGGTCTTCCAGTTAAAGGAAACCCTGATGTCATTGACTGAAAGTTTAAAACTGAAGGATCAAAGGCAATTTGTTGAGTGTCTAGCTCCTGGGTTTGGAATTTCCACATGGAATCTGCCTTCTACAACAGAAGAACACTTGTAGGCCTCAAGGATGCCCTTGTCAAGTGTTTTCTTTTTTTTTTTTTTCTTTTTCTTTTTTTGGCCCTTTTTCTATTACAAGAAAGAAAATAACACACTGGTCTTTAGAAAATTCTCAGAAACACCAGCTGGTATCTTTCATACTTTTTACCATCCTTCTAATGATGCAATCTAAGCCAGTATTAAAAAAAAAAACAAAACAAAAAAACCCCCACTAATATAACTTCCAGTTGTCTGACGCGTAACCACGCTGCACTGCACGCAGCGGGTCTTCCTGGCGGCGCTTACCGGATGGGGTTGGGAGGAGGAGGGGGCAGCGGAGGTGGAGGTGGAGGTGGCGGAGGTACGGAGTTCTCGGACTGGTTCACCCGTTTCTGGAGTTCATCCACTGCACAGAGATCACAGATTCAGAAGAGAGCTGAAACAAGCAACTTCACACACGCAAAGGAAAAAACATATCCTCTCTCAAACTCGCGTTCTTCTTACCAAGGCAAAGTTAGAAATTTCCATCTGAAACTGCAGAACTTTTTAAACTTATCACCGTCCAGCCTATTATTACGAATGCAAGAGAGGCTTTACATATGTTTCAAGAAAACGTTACCATCTTTTTTGCTGTATATACAACTATGGAAAATAAAAAAATGAATTCAAGACAATGGCTGGATGGGTGGGAAGGAAGGATTGAGTAGGTTGAAGAAATATTTGTTAACAATGGAATATATATGACTCAAACACTAAGAAATTGTTAATACTTGACTTTTAAAGTGTTATAAACCAAGAATTAATTTTAAAGATGACATTTAGCACTGAATTTTAATAGCATACTTTCCTCCTCCACTTAATTTCATTCAAAAACTGCAAATCCTAATGTTCTTGATGTTAACCAGACTCAGGCTCTCCAATGTCTGTAACTCAGAAACTTTTTGCTCTTTCGAAGAGCATTCTGAAATATAATTTATTCATTCGAGCATTCTGAAATATAATTTATTCATTCGATTTATTGAAGTCATTAATGAAACAATTATTTACAAGCATCGACAATGTGAAAGGGCCCGAGCTTGGTGCTGTTCCAGACACAGTTCCTTACTTCAAGGAGCACAATTTAAATTTATCTCACAGATGGAAATGCCTCTCCTATGGGCTCCAATGGGCCTAGGTACGAATATTGTTTGCACTCAGGGAGAGCTCTCTTTCTCTCTCCATAGCTATTCCACATTCCATGACTGCCTGTACCCCTCAATGATCTGCCCATCTGTTTTTAACTCTCAATACTTAAACAGCATGGGCTAAGCTCTCTGACAGGAGAATTCTCTAGGTATTCTATATGCACCTGACTATCCCCAAAGGGACTATGAGTTCCTCAAAGACAAAAGGCATGATTTCTTTTCTTCTATGTTTCTTATAGTACCCTAGGGTATGGCTGGGTGCACACACAGCAGAACCTAAATAAAACGTTCAAAATCTCTAGCGTCTGCCCCCTTGGTTTGTAGCAAAGATAGGGCAGTTTTCACTACAGGCTACCCTGATATTCACTAAAGGAATGGAATATTTCTTAATTTTAGATCAACTTTTAAAAAATAAAGTGTAATTAATTTTCATTGTGGATTAGAAAGCATTGAATATTTTTTAAAGGAAGAAAGCCAACTTGGTTCTTCTGTACAGATTTCAAAATTCTAGTATAAAATTAACCAGAAATATCTGAAGTGAATATTGAAGCTGTTATAAAGGGAATGACTTGCCTCCTTAAATTACCTACCTTCCAACAGAAACTTATTACTTACCCCTGTGTAGTAATCCAACTCACACGTTCCTGTTAAGCTTTCTAGAACTGAATGAATAAATCCTTTGATTTAAGTATCCCCTGGTGTTTTAAAAGTTTTCCATTTAATACGTATATTGTTGCCCATTTTATTGTTAGGTGTGGTATTGTAAGTATTATTTCATGTGTATAATTAGGCACCAAAGATGAAGGTGGTATAAATCTAAAAAGCTTAATTCCTTTTTAAAACTTCACCCCAAAATGAACAAAGTTAAAATAAGTACCTAACGAACACTCATCACTGAAGCCCTGAGAAATGCTGAAATTTTGGTATTTCCATATTAACGGTATTTTTATCTCTTAATTCTGTGTGTGATGCTCATAAAGGCTCTGGCTCCAAAAGAGAAGTCTAAATATTTATGAATTGTTTGATTCTGGAGGCCATTATAGTAAACTGGAATAGTGAGAAATGAAGGACTGTAAAGACAAATCCTGACATATTTCTCTAGGCAGCATTCAGTAAACGTGGCGGACGAACTATACGCCAGGTTTCGTACTGGGAATGGGAGATGCACAGGTCAATAAGAAGACATAGGAGCCTACTCAGTGCTTTTACCGGAATGCTTTAAATTTCTGGCTTTCTCCTCTGAATTCTGGTATTTCAATTCCAATTCTTTTTTATCTTCTTCTAGCAGTTCCAGTTGCTGTTTGAGGTTGTGTATCTCTTTGTGGAGCGTTTCATTTTCTAGTTGCTCTTTCAATTCTTTGACCTATAAGTTATAAACAGACTTTATGGGGTGATATAGTTTTTCCTGCGTGTCAAGAAAAATAAAGGGAAAAAATAAAGGTTTCCCTTTTACTTTGCACTTCATGCCAAAGAGGTTCCAATCCATCTTAAACACTATGAAAATTCTGGGATACAGATAATACTTCAAGTCATTATCAGCTATTTGGTTCTATATAAGTTTACCGGAGACTTATGTCCCAGATAATTTAATTTTTAAATATGAGTCAAAAGAGTAAAATCAATCATAACCAAAAAAATTCATTTGAAACAAATGAATACTTTCATACCCAATTTCAAGAGAAAAATTCAGGTAGTATTAAAAAGACCCTTGGGGGTACAATTTGGTAACAAGTATCAAAAACCTTAAAAAAAAAAAGGAAATGTTCTTTAATTTGGTAATGCTACTTTTAGAATTTGTTTTAAAGAAATAGTATGACCAGTGTTTGAATATTTACTAAAGTGTTCTTTGTAAAAGAGAAAAATAGGAAGTAAGTGTCCACCAATATTACTGATTTAATAAATTCTGGTGTGTTCTTAAATGAAATACTACGCAACCATTTAAAATCATATAGCTCACTATACATACACTGACATGAGACGATGTATTATCAATTGAAAAAAAAATCAGGTTATAGAACAGTATTCATGCTATGATTCCATTTAAACTATATTCATAAAATTATATATTTATAAAGCAGTGGGACATGCACCAAAGGATTCCTAATTTTCTTCTTTAACTTTTTCTATATTTTTTAAATTAGTTTATTAGAAGCAGCATATGTTATCTTTATAATCATAAAAACAATACAGTGTGTTTAAAAGGTTGCTGAATCTGCAAGGGAACTTACAGGCAGGTAAGAATTATTGTAAACCACACACATGAAAGATTATACAAAATAACTATACAGTATAACAGTATTAGAAGTACCAATCGCTGTAATTTCACTCATGCCTTTTATTTAATATTTAGTTCCTTTCCCCTCCCCAATGAAGTACACACACAACAGTTTAATTAGTCCCATACCTTAGTTCAATTCAGTAGGTTCTAGGCACGTGTTATTTACTAAATGAGTTAACTACAAGAAATAGGACTTTTCAGTGCCAAAAAATTCTAGCATAAGCTAAATTTTAAAGAAAACATTTTTTATTCTGTCTTTATTCAATATGGAAATTCCAGCATATGGGGGGAAAAGAAAAAGAAATTCTTTCCATCCCATCTTTTTCCCTAGTCCTCTTTCCCAGGGGCAACCACAATTCATCTAGAGGTTCTCTACACACATACCAACGTTTCTTATGAAGGGAAAAGAAAAAAATCAACTCTTCCTCACTGCCAACTTTGTAAAGACTTCACAAACTTCCCAGGATTAAATGTCAATATTGTTGCTTAAAGAGAATTCGACAGGCAATAATAAATAGCAGCTAACAGTCTTTCCTTCACAAACAAGGTACACTGTAAGTAGTATAAATATTGGCGTAATCTTAAGTGGCTTTTTTAACGTCGAACCTTTGTTTACACCTCTTCACCTCCTCTGCCTCCTCTTTCTCACCTTCCCTTCCACGCTAACTATCCTTTCTGCCTAGCACATGGAGGGAGGCCACATCAGCTGGAATAGCTCCACTCCAACAAACTGAAATAACCACTTAAGTCTTTAAACATACACATTTGTGCAAGTGTACAAAGTCAGAAATTTTCTCTAAGCAAACAACTACTACCAACATGGATTTTTCCCCCCTCTTGGAATAAAACCTATTCCCTTCAACAAGCTCTTTGAGACAAACACTCTCCTAAGGTAGGCAGTCTCTAAAAAATGCCATCAACTCACAAATTTCCAAAGGGTGCATTATATGCATTGTACAAGCTCTTTTTGAGTTGTATTTCTTTTCGTCACTTCTTCCGATCTTTGGGACAGTTTAAAGGTCAGTCTACAATAGGGTGCTATAAATTTCAGTTGGGTACTAAATTAAGTTCATTTGGTAGTTATTTTTTTCTATAAGGTGACTTGGCAACTTAGTAAGGCAAAATGTGGAACTCAAGGTGACCAGACTGACTCTTCATTTTAAGAGAGATAGAGAGAAGAGAAGAGATGATAAGAAACTGTGGTATATTTATACAATGGAGTATTACTCAGCTATAAAGAAGAATGAAATCTTACCATTTGCAATGATATGGGTGTACCTAGAGAACACTATGCTAAGTGAAATAAGTCAGTTGGAGAAAGACAAATACTATATGATCTCACTTATATGTTGAATCTAAAGAACTGAATAAATGAGCAAAGTAAACAGAAATAGTCTCCGAGATATATAGGAAAAACTACATATCTTTGCTATATGGTTGCTAGATGGGAGGGGGGTAGGGATGAGGGATAAGGGGGGAAGATTAGCATAAATTGATAACTACAATATTGCCACAGAGATGGGATATAAAAGACAGTTTGGGGAACATAATCAATAATGTTGTAAACATTTTGTAGGACGTCAGATAGACACGGCTTTTTAGGGAGACCACTTCATGGACGATGTAGAGGCTTGACCACTACACTGTACACCTGAAGCTGATGTTGTATAATATTGTATGTCAACTATAATTTTATATATGTATAGTTTAGTTATGGGATGTGGAGTATAGCGTGGCGAGTGGAGTCAATGGAATTGTAATAGATATTTATGATATGGGGGAGGAGTGGGGCGGTGGATTGGGGGAGGGGTGTTGTCACTTTGTGAGGGGTGAAAAGTATAACTATTGCATTATTTTTGTACACCTGAAACTAATAAAAAACCAAAGGAAATTAAAAAAAAATAAAAGTTTCCCTAAAAATAAAGACTCCAGAAGAAAATCTGTTACCTTTTGTTGATGCTGAATTTTCTCTTGCTCGAGTTGCTGGGTGAGTTTTGCATTTTCCTCTAAAGCTTTCAGAAGCTGCTGGTCAGGAGCAGAGCTCTGCAGGAGGAGGTGGCTTTGTCGCTTTAGCTTGTTTTGTTCAATGAACATCTACAAAAATTAACGACAAAAACATCCATGCCGATTAACCAATCTCACAGTATCTCCTCAACTGACACTGAAGCAAAGGGAAAGTGTGCGGGGGTTTTTATTAAAAAGTTAAAGGCAATTTCTGAATTCGATAGTAAAACAGTTTTAGAAGCAATGATTGCTGTGATCTCACTCACAACTTTTACACAATCTTCAGTCCCTTTACCCTTGCCCCAATGAGGTACAAACATTTAGTCCTGTACTTCAGTTTTTAATATTTCATTACGGCTTTAAAATCCATTCATACTAATAATAGTAGCTAATATTTATCAAGAACTTATCTTATGCCAGGTACTCTAATAAATATTTTATATGCATTATTTTAATCCTTACATCAATCCTAGGAGTTAAACGCTTCTGTTACGAGTAGCCCAAATTTACTCAACACTATGTGATACTTACGGTGGTAATCATTTTACTATATTATATTCTCTAATCCTGAGAACAACACTGTCAAGTAGATACTATTATCCCATCTGTAGTAATAAGGTAACTGAAGCTCAGAGGAATTAAGCAACTTGTCCAAGGACACATGCTAAGTGGTAAAACCAGGATTTAAACCCAGGTCTGACTAAAGTAAAAGCCCACGCTCCTAACAACCCAAATAATCTCTTCTTCTATTTACCAGTTTTCCCCAGTGATGGAAGTAGTTAACAGTTAGAGGGTAAAAAAAAAAAGAGAGAGAGAGAAGGAAAACAGTGTATTAATATTTATCGAGCACTTTATTAAGCAATTTACATACATTATTCATTTAATCTTCACAACTTCATATGATTAAAAATCACATTATTGTCTATTCACCTGTTATGTCTTTCCTTTAATCCCCTACACAAGTCAGCTAATAGGTGATCGTGTTTTTGTTTTTGTTTTTGTTTTTTAAAGGGACAAGTGGGAGTAGGAGAGGAGGGAGAAACTTTCAATGCCTGCTTTACACATCTGAAAATTGTTTGTACTTTTACAAGGCATATATATTTCTTTTGGAATGAAATATATCAAGTAAATTCACTTTAAAGCTCTAGACCAGTGGTTCTCAACCTGTGGGTCGCGACCCCTTTAGGGGTTGAATGACCCTTTCACAGGGGTTGCCTAAGACCATTGGAAAACAAAAAGATACTTACATTACAATTCATAACAGTAGCAAAATTAAAGTTACAGAGTAGCGATGAAAATAATTTTATGGTTGGGTGTCACCACAACATGAGGAACTGTATTAAGGGGTCGCAGCATTAGGAAGGTTGAGAACCGCTGCTCTAGACAGTGAGCTTCAAAGGGCAGAGCCCAAATGTGACTTCTTCACCATTCCATTCCCACTATCAGCACAGTGGCTGGCTTAGTAAAATGTTTGCTGAATGTAGTAAGGAAAAAAATATTTAAAAAGCCGGTACTTCTCATGTTAAACCAAGTCATGAACCTTTTAGCCATAGTTGTCTGTCGAAAAGCTGAGCATTTGTAAACCATGCAAAAGAAAAGATAGATTGGCTCTAATGTAGCTTTATTTTAAAAACTAGTTTTCTTCTCACTATGGTGTAAATCAAATCTAGAGGAAATCATTCATTTTCATATTCCGAGTGGAATCTTGCTTCTTCCATCTATCTTCTCTGCTATTGCATGGCCTTCAAGCTTTCTTTGAGCTGCTTTGTATTCTAACAGCATTTGACAAACAACAGATGGAAAACTGAAAATGTCTCTCAAAATAAGACCCTGGCATTCAGGTCAAAAATTAGCCGACCTTTTCAGTTTTGCGATGGAGGTGTCTTCACATTATCTCTACTCTCCATCTGCCTCAACTGTTTATTTAGTTCCAATATTTCTATTGCTGCAGCTTTTTCCAAAGGGCTGTGTGACACACTCCAATTCTCTTTTTTCTTTCTTCCAAGTAATAAGAGAACAATATTTCCTCACCTTTCATTAAGCTCTCTGAATAAAGTGAATCATAGCATTTCAAATCAGATCTTCTTGGGCTAAACCTTTTATGGAGTTCACTGCTAGCACAGCTATATTCAAGCACAGAAAGACTCGTGCACAAAACCATCAATTTGATTTTCAAATGTCATTTGCATAACCCCACGTTTTGTCTTCTTTGTATCCTGTGGATACTTCCCCCTAAGAATGTTTTACATTTCCTTGGCTACTCTCCTTCAACTTACAGTATATACAAAGATTCAAAATATTTATCCATGATGGACTATTCTTGCAGGTCAGCTCCCCACATGAGCTGTTCCAGTTCAGCCAACTGGTACCTCATCATTTCCCTGGAAACCAATCCCAGAGACATGGAACACCCAAAGACTAGATGTCAACAAAGGTAAGCCGGAACACGAGACGCTCAGAGCTTATCTCTAACTGGCGAAAGGATGAGATAATGGATGTACAACATGGCAATGTTTCCACAGCAAGTGGAAGAATCAGCTCACATAATGACAGCACTGTGCAGTAGCCAAAGAGAAATGCTAATTCCATGGTACTGCTACTGGAGATGGCATATCAAGATGAACCTAGATTCACTTGTAAGGCTATCTGAAACATCCAAAAATCCTACACTCAAGCCGTCACAAGGTAGAGGCATCCCTAAATATAATTTCTTTCCCCTCTGTAGCATTTTAGAGTTTATAAAATACCTTTGAAAAATCATGCCATTTGAATGTAAAATCCACTTGGCTAGGTGCATATCGTCACCCATTTTACAGATGGTGAACGTGAAGCCCCCAGAGGCTAAGGGGCTGAATTAAGGTCATACACCTGGTAACTGACTGGCATGGCAAAATCTGGACCCAGATCTTCTGACACAACGTTCAGTGCCTCCCTAAATCAGCTGACCCTTAATTCAAAGTAATAAGTTATTATTCAACCTCAAAAAATATTCTGGTGTGTCATCTGCCAAGTTCTTTTAAAAATAAAACTAGGGGGCCGGCCGAGTGGCTCAGTTGGTTAAGAGCTCTGAGCAATAGGGTTGCTGGTTCAATTCCCACATAGGCCAGTGAACTCTGCCTGAGCTGAGCTGCCGCTGAGCTGCCAACAGGTGGCAGGATGGCTCAGCTGATTAGAGCACGTGCTCTTAACAACAAGGTTTCTGGTTCAACTCCCACATGGGATGGTGGGCTACACCCACCCGCAACTAAAATTGAACATGGCACCTTGAGCTAAGCAGCCGCAAGCTGCCAATGGGTGGCCGGATGACAACTGGACTTGGAGCTGAGCTAGCTGTGCCCTCCACAACTAAGATTGAAGGACAACATCTTGGCTGTTCCCCTCCTCCAATTCCCCAATAAAATCTTTAAAAATAAAATAAAATAAAAAATAGGTCTCTGCAGAAAATGTACCTCTTGTGCAAAGGATTCTGCTTTCTTTCGAAGGTCCTTCTCCAGTTCCAAGTTGACCTGCATTTCCTCATACTCTTCTACTGCCAACATGGACACTAAGAAGACAAGGAAAAGAAAACGGACAATATGCCATACAGATTACCAGGAATATGGATGAAAAATAGTGTTGAAAGATTCTTTATACAGGCATCTAAGCACCCTCAACCATTGCTGGTTGGAATACAAATTGATAAAACCTTTTTGGAGGGCAGCATGAGTCAAAAATCTAAAATTGTTCATACTCTTTGGCTCAACGATTCCACTTTTAGAAACATATGATTTAGAGAATAAATCATGAAAAGATACGGAGATGTAGTTGCTGGGATGCTCTCTGCATTGTTGCTGAGAACAGTAAAATAATCTAGGCAGTCCAACATGGAAGGGCCAGTGAAGAATGGTATGTACAAGAAATATTATTTGGCCACCAAAATTATATCGTACAAGTATATTTATTGAATGCAAAGGCATTCATCATTTTTTGAATGAGTTCTTTTTTGTTTTTTAAAAGCCACACCCAAAACACATCAGCAAGGCATTTCACAGAAGATGAGACATGTCCAAAAGGCTGAGAAACATGTGATAAGATACCCTCGTTAGTAACCAGGAAAACAGAAGGGAAAAAGCAGATGCCTTAAAAGGCAACTGGCAAAAGTTAAAAAGTGCGTATCAAGTTTGAAGAGGAAAGAGAACAATGGGAACAAATACACTGCTAACAGGAGTGTCAACTTATAAATCTGTTTAAAAATTAAATTTGGCATTATGTAGTGAAACTGAAGATAAAATTTTACATTTGGCATATATCTTAGTGAAACTCTTAGACACATGCATAATACTCTTCATAACAACATGACTTATAATAGCAAAAAAAACTGGAAAAACCTCAATGTCCACCAAGAGGATACTGGAAAAATGAACTTTGGTATAAACACAAGGACATATTACACAGCAGTGAAAACAGACACAGCAGAGCAAAGCCCTTCAATGTGGATGAGCCTCACAAACACAAAAAGCTACAGAAGGACATACGCAAAATGATGCGATTGACATGAAGCTCAAAAACATGCAAAATTAAACAATATGCTCTTTGCGGATACGTACGCATTTAGCAAAACTATAAACAAATGATAAAAGTCCATGGGAAGGGTACGAGTAGAAAGAGCTCTCAGGGGCTTGTAAGCTACCAATGGGTAAATATTCCTTTTGCTGTTATTTTCTTTGTCTTCCATATACGCTATAAACATATTTAACAAGGAATGTAATGCATATGTAAAGTTTTTTTAAGATTGGAAAAATATACACTAAAATGTTAATAGTACTGATCTCTGACTGGAAAGATTGAGATTTTTTTTTTCCTTTTCCTGTATGAATCTATACTCTCCACCAAAAAAGCATATTAGCTGAATAAAAAGAAAAACATACGTTATTTTTAAGTGTTCTCCCTGTTCACAAAGAAGGGAAACAGCCTTTGATCCATTCCGGCCCAGAGTCCGAGTTCTGAATTAAAGAGTCACTGTCAGGGAGAAATCTTCAAAGGGAATGTCCTACCAAAGAAAAGCAACACAGGTGCTACCTTCTGAGATTTTGTGGTCTGTTTTGTTAAATGATGATATAGACAGGGCAGAGGGAGCGGCGGCCCCCTTTAGACACTAGTTACAAACACAGGCAGGTATAACTCTAGTCTCTCCATCCGCTGGCGAGGCCCTTTCTCGCCTGAGCTGAGTCACATCAATCCAGTCTTCCAAAAAGCTCCCTAATGTTTGCTTCCACACAGCCTTCGGCCAGGGCCCTTCAGTGCTAACTGACTAAGGACTGGTTTGCTGCCGCAATGACATAGAATTTCAAACTCTACACTCTGTAAATCTACTGCCTAACTCGGAGGAAAGGCTAATAGTCTTATACAAGTAAAGCAATGCCAAGTGGTGGTTTGTGATGTGATTATAGGTCCCTGGGAGCTAAATGATTTTTCAAACTGACTTAAAAAAAGAAATTTCATGGAGAAAACAAAGAAGACCACGACTATATGAAGAAACCCGGGGCAAGATAATTGACTCTCTTTTCTACGTCCAGAACACTATAATAAAAAGTTAATTTTCCTATGTCCTGGTGCTTTTCACTTGGATTGTAAGAGAAATTAGGTTGGTCCTAGTCATGTATTTATTTATATAATCTCCCTCTCTTCCTAGATGGGGGCTCTCTGAAGGCAAGAGCCATGTGACCAACCGGGTAGAGCCCTTTTTCTAGCACAGCAGTGCATCAAGACTGAAACTTCTTCTACACCATGTCTATCTTCTTAAATGTAGAAAGAACTGGAAAAACACTACAATCTCGTGTATCTCCCATGCTTAACTACAAGGTCCTTTATTTATTCAAACATCTCATGTCATGAAGGATACAATAACGGAGAATTACTGTGAACACCAGGGAAGGCCCTGCGTCAGAAAGGTTTCCTTTTAGTGTTTATACCTTGTGAATTAGGAAAGAGAATGGCTGAAGCAAGGAAGAAAACAAAACAAAACAAAAACAACACAGAGCAAAGTAAGTCCCCTCCCTTAGAATTATGTCTGCAGAACTAAAATTTGGCATTACTCCCTTGTCCTAAACCAGGGTACACAGAAACAGCCCCATGAGACCTGCTGCTGCTGTGTTTTACAAGTAAGATCAAACTACACAGTTTTCTTAGAAGTAGCCTTTAGAGAAATTTCCTCCTCACCAAGAGACCAGGTCTGCTTCTCCTGATCAAGAGGTTCATTTTTACGTGATTCGTATAAATCAGCGGTTCTCAACCTTCCTAATGCCGCGACCCCTTAATACAGTTCCTCATGTTGTGGTGACCCCCAACCATAAAATTATTTTTGTTGCTACTCTATAACTGTAATTTTGCTATTGTTATGAATCGTAATGTAAGTATCTTTTTGTTTTCCAATGGTCTTAGGCGACCCCTGTGAAAGGGTCGTTCGACCCCCAAAGGGGTCGTGACCCACAGGTTGAGAACTGCTGGTATAAATGATCATGAATTTGTGAGATGATCCTGAGAGCATCATACTGGCCCCTACATATCTCAGACCTAGATTTCAGGCACACAGGCAAGAAATGGGTAAGACCTCAGAGCAAGTATACACCCTGTATTTCAATATATACTCTCACCTTCCCTTTGTCACATTTTCCACATCCTCTTAATTTAAAATTTTATCATATCATGTTGCCTGTATTTATGTAGATATCCTAATCTCTTCTGAAGAGAGGTTTACTAAATGACCTACCAAATACATAAAGACTGAGGGGATAGCCCATAGGGCTATGGTCCCAAAACACATGTAGGACTGATCAGTATTAAGGTTTTACATTTCAAAATGAGTAGGTCATGAGTTCCTCAAGTAAAAGCACTTTTAAATGTCCCAAGACTCTACGGCTGAGTGATAAAATAGAAAAGAGAGAGAGACTCATTGTTAGAAGTTAGGAAAACACAATATAGAGAAGATTCTTGCTACAAAAATCTTTAGGCACAGGTGTAAAACAACACAAAACTATATGTAAACAAAAATAGATTACATATATAATAGAGAAAAAAAGACTGGATGCACATACCTCTATTGCATTTTTCTAAGACTTTTCTCTGTTCAAGAACTTCTGAATTTAAAACATCTTTTTCTTGTTTAACTTTATTTACCTAAAAATGTGAGATTTTGAGGGGAAAAAACACCCAAAATTGTAAAACATAACATATGATAACGTGTAATACTCAAATTGCTGCTCAACTTTCAACAAGAAGTTAACAATTTAAGATAGTAATTGGCTTCAATGTATTAGGCTTTCATTGAAGCTCCTCTTAAAGACTCAAAAGTAGCTATTAAAGTTAGGATGTAAATTTGGTAGAGTTTATTTACATATTCCAAATGGCATTGACATTGGTCCCTAAATATGGTAGTGTTCTAGCTGGTCAGTGTAAATGATTGATATTTTTAGTGCCAAAATCTAACTAAAGAGCACCCAGAAAACATATGGACCAGTTAATCAGAAATCTCACACTCAATTTTGGTATTCATTTTAAGCTTTGATGATATTTGGCTTAAGTAAAACACACATGAATTTGTAAAATAAAAAAGTTTCAACTTTGATGACTTTTGGCTTAAATAAAATACATATGATAATCTTCCCCAAAACTTAAATAACTGAAATAATTTTTGGCAACTATCAATAGAAGAGAATATCATAGGACAGTTAAAAAAAAAGAGTGTAAAGCTACACATATCAAAGTGGACAAATCTCAAATACATTATGTGGAATTTAAAAAGTAGATACATTTTACATAGTTTAAAAACAGTTATAATGCTATGTATTAAACTATAATACAAATTCATACATCAAAAATGATAAAATCCGTATAAGTAATACATGGCTATACTAAAGTTGTAATAAATACTCCATTATTATAGCAAAAAAAAAAGATTTTAATTGTGGAAATAATCCATGTACATGATAAAAAAGTTCAAACACTATACAATAAAAAAACGGGTCTCCCCCCCCACCAAAAAAAAAAAAAAAGATAAAATCCAAGTTCAGAATAATGGTTGTTTGAGGAAACAGGGCAGAGAGTAAAGAGAAAGCAATTATGGAGAGAAAGCCTACCTTCATGTTTTAGGTATTAAGCTAGATAGTAGGCATACGGATGTCCATTATTTTGGTTTTTATACTTGTCAGATATCTGAAATAGTCATAATAAAACTAACTTCTGAAATGGCTTCCAATAATACCTCTAAGCAAAAGGGGAGAGAATCATCCATAAATAATCACAACTGAGGACTACAGTGCACCAGAATGTGTTTCTTGTCTCATTCCTATGGTTACATTCAAAAAACAAACTAAGATAGTGGCCCTGAAAGGGACTCTGAGTCTATCAGCACTTCCGGACAGTGTGTGAACGGATTTCTTTTAGGGTAAGTTGCATTTTGGTTTGGGTTTTGATCAGTAACTGCTCTACACTGTCCGATATTAATGACATTTCCAACAGATCATCATCCTTCTTCCCACTCATTAGGACGTCCTGCCACAATCAGGCAGAGCAATTGGGGCGGGAGGTTGGTGGGCACCGCTTCCCAGCCTTTTCCACATTATGGCCCCTAAGAAAATGATGATAGTGTATGGGAACCGGGTGACTGGATGAGGCTGTTTGCTGAAGGGATCAATCCCTGGCGTACGTGTGAGCCCTCCGAGGAACATCAAAGTGCTATGTACAGCACATCAGTTGGGAAGAAGCTCTGGGTTACAGAACCTGAAAACCACCGACGCAAGTTAAATCGAGACTGCGGTTTAAAGGGGGATCCTTGAAGCCTCGTGCAAAGAAAGGCAATTACCTACTCCTGCTCTTAAAGACAATTCAAAAGGAAAAAGATTCTCCAAATACCCACTGAACCCATTTTGCCATCGACCTATCATCTATGCCGCTGTTGGAGGTACAGGATATAGCCTTTTCCAACCAAGCCAGCCACTCCTCTGCAGAGGGAAAAGGCTGCTTCACCAGCAGCAATAAAGTGTATGACTGAAATTGCAGATATTCTTACAAATTTGCCTCATCTAGTGAGTTATGAAGGGGCAAGAGGGGACCCCCCAATGCTATTTTAGTGTTTTATTTATTGAGCTAGATAGAAGGGATGGATATAAATGTTCATGATCTCATTGTCTATTCCTTTTTGTGTATCTGAAACCCTGGGGAAAGGGAAGAATAAAATTGGTACATGGTTCTCGTGTCAGAAACCAGCTTTCAATACCAACACGTTAACATGGCTGGTCCCCAAACACCTTGAAAATACTGCAGGCTTTGCATTTCAGGCCTAAGATACATACCTCTTCAATTACTTCTCCAAGTTTGCTCTTCAGATTTTCCAACTCAATGGCTAACATCTTCTTTTCCTCCTGAACAGATACGATTTGATCTCGAAGTTCTGCATTTGTACAAAAAGAAAAAAAAAGAACCGAAAGAAACCTCGTTTTAAAAGAAGAAATCAATGTTGTCAAAAGAATCGAACGTGCCAATCTATGTGCCATGTATGGTCAAGGTTATTTAACAATTAAAAGGAAAATGGAAATCTCACTTCCATGCCCCCCAACACAGCCATCGTTATTGATAATTTTGTATTAATCAAGCAATCTCACGATGTTCAACGTAGCAGATCACGTTTTCTTTATATTCTATCAAACCCACATTTGAGAAAACAATCTGGCATTTCAGGAGTAAAATTTTTTAAGCTCTCAGCAAAACAAATTAAGGCACTGTACTAATTTCTTTTTTATTTTATAATGGTCATGGGCTCTTGTCACAATACAATATAAACATTTGAACAGTTCATAATTTGGAAATTTTGATTTGAAGAAAAAATTCCTGATTTGCTGCCAATTTATAGCCCTTCAACATTATTCGAACTGACTCAAAATATAACCTATTTGAAAAAGGGTTAATTCTAGTAATTTTCTCTCCAGAGGTGTGGGTGTTTTGTTTCTTAATTTATTTCACATTCCTTATTATTGGGATTTAATGAGAACTGTGTTACTAGATTGAAAATATTAGCAAGTGTTAAGTGCAAAAGCTTCTGGTGTTAAAGTTACTTTTACTGCACAAATGTTAAAAATGTACATATGGATTAGCACAGAAGACTTAAATTTACACCCAGCCTTATGGTTTTGCCACTTAAGTTTCCAACTACTTTTAATTTCTTACCCTTCTTCAAGGACAATAAGAATCCTGCTGTATAACCAGGTAAATTTTACAAATTAAATCAAACTTTTTACATTAATGCAGCTTAAAGGAGTTCTCAGAGATTTATTTCAGAATCACTTTCTCTAATGGCTGGCTAATCCTAAAGGAAGAACAAAGACCATGCCATTCAAGACCTAACAGAAGGGAGAATTGTGAACACAAAAAAAATTATTAAACTTCTCTCTCCCCACCAACATAAATATCATTTGGTTTTAGGTTAAGGGAGTAGAGGGTCAGGTAAAGATGATGTTCTTTATACAGTCAGCCTCGATACTCGCAAGGATTGGTTCCAGGACACCCTCAGATACCAAACTGTGAATGCTCAAGTCCCTTATATAAAATGGCATAGTGTTTGCATACATCTTAAGCACATCCTCCTGTACACATTAAATCATCTCCAGATACAATACCTAAGACAATGTCAATGCTTTGGAAATAGTATTGTTTAGGAAATTATCAAAAAGAAAAAAAAGTCTGTACATGTTCAATAAAGATACACCCATTGTACACCTATCCCCATAGTACAAGTCAGCCACAACGTAACATTTTTCTACTGAATATTTTCAATCCATGGTTGGTTGAATCCGTGAATGTGGAACCCATGTATATGGAGGAGGGTTCACAGTACTTTCTTCTTTATACTTGCAACTGAAATTCTGTTTATGAAACAAATTAATGAGTACTGCTTTTGACATGTGCCCCAACAGTTATGGAATCAAAACCTGCCTTCCTACATCTTAAAATAAACAGTGTGTGTGTGTGTGTGTGTGTGTGTGAATAAAATTAATGTGTATTTAATGGATGGATCATGTGATCTTGCCTAACAGCACTCTTGCTGGCCAACAGAGCTGCTGAATGCTGCATACTGTTTACAGCTCATTGCCTCCATCAGATGAGAGTTTCTTTGAGGGCAGACAATAACCAATTTAGGAAGAAATCTTCCCCAAAGATTCCTACAGAGAACCAGGCAACCAGGAGGTGTTGGCTGAATATATTTTTATTCATCTTTTCATTCATTTCATTTTCATTTCATCATAACTATCTTAACACATAGTCCACATTCTTAAGAAGTTTATAGACTACCTGGCAGTTTGTCCAGACAAGGCTTTCAAAAGTGCCTACTCCCAAGCGAGAAAGCAACTCGTAAAGCACAGATGGTTTTCCCTATCACGGTTCTTAACCACGCTACTCCCTAGGACATTTAAGTCAGAGTTTTTTCGAGGTAAAACCCAGGCATCAGTATTTTCTAAAGGTCTCATGTGATTCCAATGTGCAACCAGGGCTGGAATACATTATCGAAAACATGCTCAGTAATTAAGCCAAGAGTCCCACCTTTGATTTGCTTCTGACACTGCACTGAGACACAAGTCTCGGCAGCCCCATCTGGTTCTGTAGTCGAATCTTCATCGTCAATGTTGATCTCTTCAGTTATTACATCTGGTCCCAGCTTGGCCATGTATAGCATGCTGATCCTTTTCAAAGTCTTGTTTTCTTTATTTAGCTAACGCAAAATAGAAAAATGGTTATTTTTAACAGACGTCACATTGAGTGTCTGGGATTTTTAACAACAGACAAATGAAGTGTATTCTTTTGTCTTACATAGTCATCAACAGTCACAGGATGAAATAACAATTAGAGGATTCATTAAATAAGGTTTTACTTACACTTCTTAATAGTAAATTTATTACTTTAAGGAAAACCTGATGCCAGGATTATAGCCAGTAGCACGTGAGAATGCTAGTTACCACTGGTAAGAAATATAAGAAGAATGAAGATAAAACACCAGCATAGATGAAACCAAATATCAATTTGATTGCCTTAATTAAGGCACTTTATTTCAAGTGAATGTTTTCTTTGATGCTGTGCTATGAACACCTGTTAAATGTTTGCCCAGCGCTCCCCCTTTTCTGGACACTGCCAGCCAGTACGCCTCTTTGCTCCACGTGATTTCTGTGGAACTGCCATGTTCCCCCGAAACACACCTCATCCCTCTGGCCACAGCTAATTAGTCCAGGAATTAGGCATAAGACCCAATCCTGGCCAATCAGATCCCTTCTCTAGAAATCTGGAGACTGGAACAGACAGATGAGTTCTTTCCATACATCTAGATGTACAGAGGCTGTTGGCAACCACATTCCAGTACTGAATTGAGGCATCGAGGAAGGTAGTCTAAGCAAAGCCGACATGGAGCTGATGTGTAGAGTGAGGCAGAGAAAAGCAAAGGACATGGGGTTTCCCACAGGCTTCAGCCCATTCCCGAAACGCTCCTGGCTCACAGATTCTATGGGACTCTCCAATCCCTCTGCAACAAATTCTACTTTTGTTTCCTTTCTTGCTGAAGCTAGCTCAAGATGTGCTTCAATCTGTACAGAGTTCTAATAATACACAATAGAAGAAAGTTCAAGATATGTTTCCATTATCTCTTTAAAAAGAATTTGAATACACAACAGAGAAAAAGAATCCTAATTCGTTACTGTATTTGTTACTCCTTAATGTAGAAATGAGTTGGTTTTTAGTTACTCCACTATCATTACCTTCTTTAGCTCATCTGTTTACGTGCATATAAATGTCAGGACAAAACACACACACAGACTGCACGTGGTCCCAAGACCACAGGAAGAAAATATGGCTTTGGTTGTGTTTTCTCAAGACAAAGAAATAAAAGGTTTTCTCTTATTGGAGCCTATGAAAGTAGAAGATTGATTTCTCTCATGTAAAATGTAAGATATAGAAATGCAAACGTATTTCCTTTAAGGGCCATTGACCATCAAGACAAGTTCCAAATTTAATAATTGGCATTGGAAACAAATACAAATAGAAATACAATTCCCTGGAAAGCAAACTGCCCTTCCCTACTGTAAACCTTACACCACAATAAGATGTTTCGTCTGGTCCTTGTCAGGCTTTGGTCCTTCATTTGTGATCATAATTGGGATCCCTCAGGGTTTCTCTCAGGGAAAGCCCAGCCCATTTCAATCTGGGAGACTGAATTCTTACCCCAATAAGAGTGAATCTAAATATGTCTCAAGTAGCTTGGTGTGGAGCACAAGGGGTTTCTTGACCTCTCTGGAGAATCAGGAAGAACCTCTCAGAAATGGCTATGAGCCCTTCATGGATTCTTCCTGGGAAATCTGGTGAGCCCTATTTTGGGAATCAGACACAGCGCTTTATTCCCTGTCCCCAACCCACTGCTCCGGCGTTCAGCTCCCCAGATTACATTAGAGGATCAGAAATAAGACACGAGGCCCATGGTTTCCCAACCCCTCTTCCTTAAAATGGAAAATTCAAGTAAGCACTGTTGGGGGCAGAGGGTGTCTTTGAACCATGAATGCTGGAGCATAGCGCTAGAGGCTCAAAAAGCCTTGTCAAGTCTCAAACAATGCCATGTTTTCTGAATGTTAGGGAAAAAATAACAATTGAAGAAAAAAATAAAAAAAACCTCAAGACTGAATCTGTAATTCAGCCTCCTGATATTTAAACAAATGGCTTCCAACTCTTCACATTAGAATCTCTAGAGATCTTTTGAAAAATCCAAATGCACAGCCAGACCAAAATCTCTGGCAGTGGAGCCCAGCACAGTATTTTTTCAGAGATTCCCATGTCATTCTAATGTATATCAACACTGAGAATCACTGACTTAGAGTAATGCAATTAGTACACATTTCTATAAAATGAGAATAGCAGAGCTAAGAACCATCTCAACAGCAAATTATCTCTGCTTCTAGAAAAACCTAATCTTTCAGTGTCCCAGTTTTCTCATCCGCAAACTAAGGATAAAAATAGTCTCTATCCATAATATGAAGATAAAATGAGGTATTACATATAAAGTGTTTAATGCAGTGACTAACATAGTAAAAATTCAGTAAGTGTTAGCTATTAAAAGTTTAGTTTGTGTGTCTAGTTTTCCTTTGGAAATCTTTTATCAGCTAGTTTTCTTTAACCAAGGCATTCGTTTGTGCATTTTTTATTTCCTCCAGGATACTTCTGAAAAAATGAAAATATTAATTTTTGCCATCTGGTGCTTAATATATTTCACTTCCCCAGGCCACCATCACAGTAATACTTAAAAACCTGATAATTAAGAGTTCTGGCCTCAAAAATAATTCGATGCCTCTATCAAATTAGGCACCAAAACACACCAGCTATTCTCTGGCTGTGATACAACTACTCTTTTTAACAAAGTTACTAACTCAAGAAAAAGGGACAGAAAATTTCAAGTCTTCTCTGAAACATTGTTTTCACATTTTCAAAGAAGAAATATAAGATTTATATCATTAGATCCTATGATTATACTAAGTGAACACTTTTGAAAACTCCGAATTTACAAATTTTGGCTATTTCATTGCAGTTGTCATTCATCAAATTATATAGGTTAATGGCATGCTTTTTTTTTTTTTTTGGAGCCTCTAAGTCACAGGGCAAAAATAAATCTTTTATAATCCTGCAGTGACAGAATCTTTTATATTCTAATTTAAATGGTGTTTTTACATTGCACACAGTTTAATAAATATTTAAAGATACAAAATAAGTAAGTTGAACAGAACTGGACCATAAGGTTTAACTAACTGGTCTATACTAATCAGTTTAACCTACACATTTTAAAAAAGCAAAGTATCCATTTTTGCTTTTAAAAAAAGTATGTAGTCAAATTGAATTATAAGAATTAAACATCCTATTTGTCATTAATTTGAGAGCAAAGATTTATAAAAATAAGATTTACAGAAACTTTATTGCTCAGAAAATGGAGCATAATTTCAAAAATGACAATAATACCTAAATTAGGATATGCTATTATCATGTATTGATCATACATAATGAAGTTTCTAAACTTTGCAGTCAAAGCTGTTGTATCTGCCACATCCAATGAGAATATCTATAGTGTTTGACTGAATAGGTGTTTTAGTTTGTTTTGGTTTTTTTTGCTCCAAGCCCCATAAGTTCATAGTGTATCCTTAAGAACAAGCCATTTGTCCAGAAGTCCAAAAAGACTTCTTAAAGAATAGACAATAAACTGAACAAGTTAAGGATCCTATTGTCAAGGTAACTGTAAAAATGATCTTATAGATTAGTAAAATAGTGGTTCACAGCCGAGGATGGATACAACAGTCAGCTGGCAGCTGTTCAGCACACATCTGCCTGGGCCACACTCCCAGAGTCAGCGAGGCTGGGGGACTCTTCAAACATCAATCCTCGTCTACCCTGACCCTGAGGACAAGACCATTGTAGCTCAGAGAGGCGAATTCTCTTGTTCAAAGCCACCAGTTAAATTAAAAGGAGGGGTGGGGTACAAAGTGATTTTTTAATTATTATATGGATCAATGATTCAAGTGCATAATGAAAAAGAAGTCTGCCTCTTTCTCACTCCACACTGACTAGTCCATCCTGTCCCTTACGATGAGACGGCAGATCAGAGAACAGAACTTGCCCGAAGTCACCTATGCCCAAAGTGACACAACCAGGAATAAAACCACTGTTTCCATGAACTCCCCAGTCCTGAGAGCCAGTCAATGCTCTCCATTTGCAGGTACCATTGCATCAGGAATACTTGCTGATAACAAGAGGAAATACAGAGACAGACTACCCTTGGCCCCTACAAGATTCAGGGCGTCTGGTAGGGTCCCAATATTTGTTTCTGCTTGTTCCAAAGGAAGAAAGAAAAAAAGGAAATGAAAAGAGAATCCACACAGTATTATGGACCAGTGAACTCTCATGATGTGCAGCCGAGAAGAAATGATGTGAGAGCACCCACGTCATTACTGTTTTTAAAGCAATCACCTGTATTGCTATGTATTCTTTAGATAAATAACAGAAGTTAATACACATATTTCTAGTCTTAGGTTCTGACTGCATATCCTATGAATCCTAATGTAGTGTTATTACGCAAACAATTAAGCAAATACCTCTAACAAACACACTGCTAATGCAGAGAGAGGGAGGGAGGGAGGGAGAGAGAGGGAGAGAGAGAGAGAGAGGGAGAGAGGGAGAGAGGGAGAGAGGGAGAGAGGGAGAGAGGGAGAGAGGATACACACATGTAGCCACACAGACTTGTAGAATGTCAGTCACATCAGAGAAATACTTTGGAGGTATGTGATGGGGGAAAAGGAGAAAGAAACATAACCGGCATTACTAATGAAATTTGGTTGAAAATTGCTGTAATCCATTTTCTGATAAGTGGTTCAGATGTATTTTACACAACCCAAAATACATAAGACAGAGATAAAAACATTCTTTAATAATAATGTACTTCTGATGAGACAGAATACAGAAAATTACACACTTGGTAAATTCATCAGCTAGCAGCAATCAGGAGAGCACTGGAGGCCACCCTTAGCATGCTTTGCTTTTGCAAATAATCACCTGAAATGTACGGCTTGCAGCTGACTGTTTCATCTGATTCAAACATGAAACACTCACCACTTTTTTATGTCACACCAGGTTAGTTTGAAGCTTGGTTAGCATTTTAACCAAATGCATACACATTTGGAAAGTCCAATTCAACAGACTAACCTGGGTCCACGTTTCATAGGCAAAAAGCACAAATGCTGAAATACACATATACAAATGCTCCTTTAACAAATCAAAATAACCTTTGCCTTAAGACAGATATTTACATAATCATATTCCAGTATTCTGAGACTTTACAAAACTTTCCTCATCATCAGAGTAGACAATAGATGAGAGAACCAGGAAAGCAAAAATAGGATAGAAGCCACCGAGTAGAGTAGCAAGTGGAAATTTAAAAGCTAAGGTAGAATTCCTTTAATTTGAATAGTCTCACCTTTGTTGCCAAGGCTTCAGCACTTTCTCGACAAGTCTTCTCAATTTCAAGATGGTTCTGCATAAAATTAACTTCCTCTATAACCATGTGAGAAACTAGGAATGAGGGGGAGAAAAAGTCTCAGCATTCAAAGATTAGTCAGCTATTCCAGAGCCTACACAGCTTGTCCCATGATTAAGAATACTTCAATTCTTTAGCCAGCCAGGCCTTTAGCTATCATGGAAAAAAGAATTTAAGATGCTGCCCGCATTAAATCTTAGCTAATATTTGAATGTAGAAACAAAAAAGAACACAACAAAGGACCTTTACTGCTGTTATACACATTTTAGAAAGCTACTTAGAATGTTTTTAAGTGTCTATTTTCTATGTAGCTGTATACATCACCGCTAATTTAAACAAAAGAACCTCTCATAAATAAAAAGTAACAAACGAGATTGCCTTTCCTCATCAGGATATAACACATTAGCTAATGCGAAATTTAAAAAACTAAAGCTTAAGTTGACCTCATAACTGTAACAAAAATGTGGCAGCTAAGGTAAGTTTTGCAATATTAATCTTTATTCGTGACAAAGTAGTTACTATAATAAATAAAGGGCAGAGAAGTATAGCAACAAGATTTATGTATTATGTGATGATGAAAATAGATGCTAATAAATTGCTTCTTGCATCACAGCCTGTCAGGGAGACTAGGAAGAAAAATGTTACTGGATATTTTACCAACCCTTAAAAAACAGGAATTTTCAGATATTTTTTTGGTAGCTGGTTTATATAAATTGAGATTTAAAAGTAAAAAGTAATTTAGAACTCGAATTGTATTCTGAAGATCAAGTAAGAAAAATGCCCATTCCTTTCACCCATATTCCTAGCAAAAGAAAATGTTCAAAAATCTCAAACTTCACTATAGCCATGTATACTTACTGACATTTGTTTGGCTTTAAAAAAGAAAAATTAAGGATACCCAAACGTGAAACCCAACAAAGTTAGGCAAAAAGCACTGGGCTCACGTTAACACAAAGAGAGATTACTTTTGCTTCATTTAAGCTTAATTAACCTGCAATTATGATTAAACTCAGGAGAAAAAATTTCTCTCCAAATTAAATACAAAAATGTATTACTTCCTAACTCTGTCCAAAGTTCTTATTATGTTAATATTCAAATTCATAAAGCAGCACTAAATGGCCAGAAACATCTCTAACCTTGACATTTTTTCAGGGGTAATAATAATCTGCAGCAAATGCAGGCCAACCAAAAACCACTTAACTAATTAGTAGTTGCAGTCACCGAGAAAAACATGAATCAACACTGTTATTACAAGTGGCACATTTGAGTGGCATCTAATTATGACTTGATGAGCACGATACTTGCATTATCAACATTACTACTGCATCCCATCAGGGCCTAAAAGCTGCTGATGGCATTGACTTCGAGAAACTCCCACTCAATGGTGCAGCAGCACCCAACAATCGGCTTGGCAGGGGCCCCCCTCACTAAATGACACGTTAAGCGTAATTACTGGTAGACATTGTAAATAAACAGGATTGGAAGTGAAAATTGTACCAAGTGCATAAGACACAATCTGACACATTGGAAGTGGCAGCCTTAATTGAGAGTTTCTTTGACTGCTCAAGATCATTTCAACTGCATTTCTCAGAGGACAGTGATTATAACTGTGGAGACAGACGGCATAATGGTATCAGCACTGCTGACAGAGCAGTGAATTAAATTGTATCTGCTGTTGTGTGAAAGCCTTGATGAGAGGTACAGATGCCTTAGTGGTCTTATCATTATAACACAATGGTCATGTTGTCATCAACCTTTCTGGCTCCAATTGAAAAGAAATGATTGTGTGTTGAAGCTCTCCCCCCTCCCCCTTCCACACCACCCCCCTTCTCGTCTTCTATCTCTTGTTCTGAATAGAACCAATTTTCAGAGAGCTATGAAATCACGCAATAGGTCCTAAAATGCAGCTGCTTGGCATACAAACGGGTCCCCATTAAACTGGAATCACACACAATATGTGTTTATGCCAGAAGAACAAATAGAAGCTGAACACAGGCCAAGTTTATTCACACACACAAAGCCCGTGTAGCTCTTCATCAATATAATTGCCTTTTATATTGTAGTTTAAATAATAGGCTCTATTATTTCCTTAAAATCCTAATATTCCTGGCATTTTATCACTGTGTTTACAAGGTAGGTTCTTCAAAAATGTGAAGGAAAGAGAAAAGAGACCTATACAATTTTTACAACATCAAATATTACTTTGAATTTTTTTTAGCCTTAATACTTGACATCTTCTGCCACAATCTGGTATTTCCACTATCATAACAAAAACATAAACACTCTGCATTTTTCATAGGAATTTGACTTTTTATTCAATAACATTCTTGCTCATGAAAGAGTAAGAAAAATTATTACGTGGTAGTAAGGTTTAGGCCTAGCAAAAAAAAAACAAAAAAAAAAACAGAAGCACAAACTTATTTTCTAAACATTTTGTAAAAATCTGCCCTGTCATCTAACTTGATAAACTTAGCTAGGTAGCACTAGATCACATTTTTTCCAATTCTGATAAGGAATACTCCATCAGTGACAGTTTTTATTTCTTCTTCTAAGAGGGAACAGTAGAAATTAAAAATTGTGCTTTAATTTTTCATTTAAAAATTATCCCAATGCTAAATTGGTAACATAGAAATCTACTTACTAACTTCTTAGATTCAAAAGCGAAGAACATGTTTCAAAGGGCATTTATATCTTTAAGAAGCACAACCACATTTCCAAAACAAGTCGGGTCACATGACACCAAACAGGATTTTTTTTTTTTAATAAACAAATTTATTTGTCCCTTTCAAAGGATAAACGTTTTAAAAACCTTTCCTTGTTCATTTAATGATTTTCCTTATGGTCCTGGAGTTCGGGATTGTGCCCTGATATCCACAATCCATGACCACTGCATCTAAAACACCTATCATATGAAGGTTTAAAAAGACCAAAAAAAGATGAGCTTTAAATAAAGTGACCCTGTTACTGTGTATGTCAAAAAGAAAAATCCTAGTAATTTAGAACTACATACTGAAATATTTACAGATAAATGATATGATGACTGGAATTAGTTTCAAAATAATCTGAGGTCAGTGAGATCAGGTGTGTGGACATATAGACGAAAGAAGAAAGAAGACTGGCTATGAGTTGATAACTACTGAAGCTGCATGATGGGTATAGGAGGGTTCCCTATGCTATTGTCTCACTTTTCTATCAGCTTGAAATTTCCATAATAAAAGTTTTTTAATGACTCTGAGAACTCAGAAGTGTAACCTAGAAGTACATCAATTACTGCTTTTATCAGTCAAGTTGAACTAGCAAAGGTGTCTCTCCTTTTCTATGACCCCAAAACACTCTTACTCACTTGCCATCATAGAATACATCACACAGTAGAATAACTAGGGTTTTTTTTTGGGGGGGGGAGGGTGGGGATAGTGTGTACTTGTTTTTGTCTCATACTAACTGTGAGCATGAGCGCAGAGATTTCACTCTACTCATATCTGAATCTCTTACCGTTAGCACAGTGCTGTAGCAAAAGTACAAAGCAGGTCGTCATGTTCGTGTTTATTCTAATGACTGGAAAAATCTATCAGTCCTACATTCATCTGTGAACACCCTTTTACAAGAATGTGCTCTGTCATGCAGAATTCCTTAGGAAGCATCACCACTTCTTGAGGCAACTATGCACCCAGCCTCGTGCTAAACCCTTTACATGTGCTCTCATAAAGCCTCACAACCAGCCTGTGAGGTAGGCGTTCCTGCAGCAGTTTTCTATTTGAGAACACTGAGGCCAGAGAAGCTAAGTTAACACATCCCAAATGACAGAGTTCTAGCTGGGACAGCGCAGCCAGAGTGACTTCTAGGTGACTCCAGTTTTCTATGTTCCTTTCTAATTCGTCATATGTAAAGGTGACACCACCAATGGTGTTGCTTCCTGAACAAAACACCACTCCATCCAGCCAACTCTCAGCAACGTTTAGATGCCAGGATGTCTCTCAAGTGTATGTGGAGAACATGCCATACGTTTCTCTGCAACATTAGATACTTAGAAAGGTTTTCATATAATAAGGAAAACACCCATGAAAATGGCGGGTACAGGAAAATTGGTGTGCCCTACAACAGAGCAAAGGATTCAATGTTATGGCCTAAAAGACATGAAAGGACTTGACTTACTCCTGTCACAGGAATCGGTCTTCCTAGGAAACAGCCTCGTAGTGGTGGTTTTGCGCAGAAAGATAGAAGGCTCAGGAAGAGCTGGCAGAGGGCCAAGAATGGCATGGACGTGTGGACAAAACCAGTCAGGAAAAGCAAGCTACGCTGGGGAGGGGAGAGCCCTACGGCCTAACAAAGCTTCCCCCTGAGCTGTTCTTCCTATACTTGAAGAACTAGGCCTAGAGGTCAACATTACAGAACGCCTATTTCAACTTAGCACCAAAGGAACTTTCCCCAAGAGCTGTCCAAATGTGGAGACGTGTCCAGGAACTAACTCACAGAAGGCAAGTGGTAGGAACCCTAAATACTGAAGGGCAGTCAAGCACTGGACGGGGCAGTGGGTGAGATGATGGAGCAGCAACTAACATCTATTGAGCTATCATGTCAGGCATTGCATTCCCCATGTTTTACACAGATTATCTCGTTTACTCTTCAAACAGCCTATGAGGCAGGGTCATTTATCCGAATTTTATTAATGCAGGAATTGCTCAGGGCTACATGGATTCACACCAAATGGTGCTTTTTCACTGGTGACAAATGCTTCACTCCCTTCCAAAACTGAAATTCTGTGTTCAAACATCGTGAACCATTTATCTCAGATACAATCTTTTTAACTAATATTTAAAGCTTTCTTAGTCCCTAAGAGAAAGTCACCCTTGAACTATTTCCACTGCACACAGTATGCCAATCTACTATCAGTAATTAATTCAGCATATGAACTGGTCACCATGTCAGTGGAGTAATTCAGCTGTAACTCGGTGTCAGCACAAGTAGAAAAACATCCCATTAATCCTGCATAAGGAAAGGAGAAAATCCTATACACCTGTCATTCCTACATTCATAAATAAGAGGTATTTCTGTCATAGATATTGGCCTCCAAACACAGGGAACACCAACAATATTCCCCTTAGATTTTCTTTGTTACAGCCAGACACTTGAAATAAACTGGCTATTGAAATTTAACTATAATGCTGCACTTTTATAGCTACTTTACCTTCAACAAGAATAAAACGTTTTGTTATATAGTTACCAAGTCAACACTTTCTGTTCAAATCAAACAGCCTGGGGGCGGCCAGTTAACTCAGTTGGTTAGAGCGCAGTGCTCATAACACCAAGGTTGCCAGTTCGATCCCCACATGGGCCACGGAGCTGTGCCCTCCACAACTACACTGAAACAACTACTTGACTTGGAGCTGATGGGTCTGGAAAAACACACTGTTCCCCAATAAAAATCTTAAAAAATTAAAATTAAAAAATCAAACAGCCTGACTAGTACAGCATTTACAGAATGATGGACAAAGGCCCTACGTCCAAGGGGGAGGGTCACTTTCCTTCCTAAGGTCCAGCCCTTTTCCCATGGCATTTTCCTTCTAACCCTTCTGAGTGTCACCAGATAAGTTCTATTTTGGGGGATAAAATAGTAACAAATTTACATCACATAACAAATAACAGCAAAAATTTAGAAAAGTATTACAGGTTTTGTGAGAATATAACTTTCCTTGGTGAGAGGACTATTTCAAACATTCAAACTCTTAAAAATGTGTAAGTTCTGTGAACCTAGAATTCCTTTTTTATAAACTAAGAAACTAATAAGTCCACTGTAAAGATGTATGGATAAGAAGACTTGCCATGGCACAATTTATAATAACTAAAAACAAGAAATAACCCATCTGTCACTGAATAAATAAATTATGGTGCTATAAGAGAGCACTTTGGGCAACAATTAAAATATACATCTCTACTGACATGTAAAGATAACCATAATACAGAGGATGCCGAAAAATATGTATACACATCTTAAGAAAGGAAAAAACTGTATTAAATTTGTCATACTCAATATATACCGATAACAAGAGATGAATACAAGTCCTGCGTATACATTTTTTTGGCACTCTGGTATATTGTTTACTGAAAAAAGCAGACTGCTAAACAGAATGCAAAGTAAGACTGTTTTTTGTAGATGCATATATCACACAGATATAAGACCAGAAAAGAAAGACTATAAAATACTAACATTGGCTTTTCTCAAAGAGTAGGGATAACAAGTAATTTTTGTTCTCCTTTACTTGTTCTGCATAGTAAAATGTGTTATAACAATACAAACCATCTTTTATAATCTCACTCTCATAAAACAATCATGCTCATTCCATTTCCTTAAAAATCAAAGTAATTCCAGGGCATTTGGGGAAAATGGGAAGAAAATTCTTGCTTTCTTGGATGCCCAATGCATCAGCAATAAACACGGGGACATGTCTACCCACAGAATCCCAAAACACAGTTATGTGTGTTGTAATGATTCCACTGAAATGCTTACATACTTTTCTGAAATTCCTCCAGTTTTCTAACAGCTTCATCCCGTTCTTGCCTAATTTTGTCACACTGAAATGAGAAAACAATAAAAATATTAAATTTACATCATAAGTTTGGAAAGACAAGAAAGAGTAAACGTATGAACAATAGCACTTTTTATGAAAAGAAAACAAACGTTAAAAAAGCATGAATGCTCACATGGTATTGGTACCAATGTACGTGGCCCACTTTCTCGGACCTTCTAAGGTAGTTAAGTCTATCTTACTGCTCGTCATCTCCTCAGCAACAGACCAATTCAACATCCTTGAGTTAAAAATGAATTTGTTCTCTAAAAGAATAGTTGTGCCTCATTTGAAGTAGGTATTTTGCTAATTCAGTGAATGCCCCACTCATTCACAGGTCAAATTCCCCAAAACTGGGTAGTTTCAAATATCCAGAACCCTGGAGAACAGTCAGAAGTGACCAGTGCATGAAGAACAAACTGCTACCACACGCCCCACGCACTTTCTTACTAAAAAAAAAAACAAAAAAAAACAACCATCCCTGTGTCCTTAGGATTCTGTATAGAAGAAGGTAGCCATTTAAAAGGAAAAAAGATAAAATATTCTGCAATAAGCAAGTATCATTTACATAAATGGATTTTTCTTTTTCTTCTCTTTTTTTTTTTTGCAGAGTTTATTAGTGACACATTCTCAGGGAAGAGAACAGGCCTCGTCAAAGTGGGAGAGAGAGAAGGAGAGACAGAGGGAGAGAGAACTCGTGGGCAAGAGAGAACTGGCGCAAAAAAAGGATACATAAACGGATTTTTCATTTTAAAAGGTAAGAGGAATCACTAAAAAGACTTTAGCGGGTAAGACCTTAAAAGGCAGGAAAAAACCACCAGAAACTATTAAAGCATAAAGACCTTTTAGGGAAATCTGGTATAGAAGTAAGTATTTATTATTTTAACAGGCCCTGAAGGTATTAATGATTTCTTTTAAAGTCTAATGTTCATTATGAGTACTGAATTAAATTCACCCTGAATTTCATAAAACAATAAAGTATAACACATTTTAGAAAGATTTTCATCAAAAATGTCTAAAACTTTAAAAAGTGATTTTAGCTATTAGAGCGATAATTAAAATTCTAATTTTGTGGAATACTATAAGAGGATCATGTGAATAAAATAAAACTTTAAATCATATTTTAATCCTACCATGCCAGGTAAATATATATTGGGATTTCATGCCTTTGGATATTTTCAAATTTCGAAGGCTAAAAAATAATGATGCTATTGATAATTTGAAAAATCCAAATTAAAGTGGTGAGATATTCTCATCTACTAGACTGGCAAAAACTGAAAAAGTCTGAATGCAGGAATTGGAAACACACATACTGCCTGTGGGAGTGCAGCTAGCATTACTACTTGGGAAATAAACTATCAAAATTAAAAATGCACACACACTATGATTCAGCAATTCTACTTCTAGATTCTATTACTACAATCTCTAGTAATGTTTACAGGATGAGCTACTCAAACATGTAAGTATTTATTATAACAATAAATCGTGGTATGCTCATGCAATACACTATAGAGCAGTGAAAAAGAATAAACTCAAGCTTTATCAATGTATCAACATAGATAAACCTCAAAAGCCAGGTTGCATAAAAGGAATTGTAGAATATGTATCAAATGATACCTTAACACACAAACACATACAAAATTCATGACAGTAGCTATCTGAAAAGGCAGGGAGGGTAAGGGGACTACAGTTGGGCAACACAGGCGATAGTCAACGTTTTTATCTGTGGCATTCTTTTTTATTTTTAAATTTCAAAAAAAAAATAAGTTAATTCTGTGTGTTGTGCATTTGATAGTATATGCTTTGCCCTTTTCTGTGCTTTTAAAATATTTTTAAAATAAAAAAATGTTAAACAGTTCAGTTTTCCCCTTTACTGCCTCAAAAACTCAAACTTCATAAAAACTACCACCATTCATTCGGGTAAACCCGTTTTGACAGGAGTACATGAAACAAGTACACAGTGCTAAATCAGCAGAGCCGTTTACTACATCCTGACTTAGACCCTCCACAAGAGGGGTCCGGCTGGACCATTTCCTAAGAGAGAAGGCATACAGTAGTCCCCCCTTATCCGCAGGGAATACATTCCAAGACCCCCAGTGGACGCCTCAAACCACAGATAGTACAGAACCCTATACATACTATGTTTTATCCTATATAGATATCTATAACATTTAATTTATAAATTAGGCTCGTAAGAGATTAACAATAATAACTAATAATAAAATCACTGTAACAATATACTGTAGAAAAAGTTATGTTAATGTAGTGTGTGTCACTCCCACCCATGTCTCTCTCTCTCTCTTTCTCTTCCCCCCCCCCAATCTCTCTCTCAATCTCTCTCAATCACTCTCTCAAATCTCTGATAACCCATCTGGTAAGTGAGAGGGCCACGAAGTAAGAACATATGGGTAGCATATCAGCATAGATACGCTGGACCAAAGGGATAACTTACATCCCAGGTGGGACAGAACGGGACAGCGCAAGATTTCTTTGTGCTACTCAGAACAGCCTGCCATTTAAAACTTATACACTGTTTATTTCTGCAATTTTCCATTTAATACTTTTGGACCGCAGTTGATCATGGGTGACTAAAACCGCAGAAGTGAAACCGCAGATAAGGGGGGACTGCTGCATTCTTTCATTACGGTTTTCTTGTGAAAATCTATTCTCTGTTAAAAAAAAAAATCTGTCTAATATAGTTTCTAGTTCCAACAGATAAACTACATTTATTGGTTTTTGGTGTTTAAAATTCTAAACTCTAGAATTCTGGATTCTCAAATTAGCTTTATGAGATCCTTCAGGATACAGTCTACTGTTTGATCCTTAATTTTAGGAGACAGCTACCTGTTGTTTTAGGAATGTTTCTAGAATGTGGCTCCTGCTGGTTCTGTATTTCCCCACCACCATGTCAGTCTGCCCACCCCACCTCCACCAATGCACAATGTAGCCCAAAGCACAAAAAGAAATATAATTCCTGACTAAATTTAAAACCCTGAGTTAAGACTGCCAAATAAAATATCTCTGGTATTTTACGTTCAAATTAATTTCATGTTTCTAACATCTGGCATTTCTAGAGGTATAAAATGCCCCCATGAAAAACTGTCTTTATCTAAGAGTTGGGGCTTGGGGGTGTTGCTCCCAGATTAATGCCACTTGGAATCTTCCAGACACCTCTCAAAGCTCCACCTGAAGACATTAGACATTCATTTCTTCTCACTTAAATCAAATAGCCGGAGTTTTCACTGACAAAAAAAAAATGGAATGAGCATTAAACAGGATGGTACTCTACCTACTCAGATATGAAAAAGGCCACCAACTGACATCACACAACCACCAACAATGCAGCTACCACGTACAACGCATGACAACGTTAGGGAGGTTTATACCAATCCCCCAGAAGTTAAGACATTATGCCCATGCTCTCTGGATATCCGACCCAGGGAGACAGGCTCTGGTTAACAACGGGTCTCAACATTAGTCTTATTCCAACATGCAAGGAGCCGGTTTCTATAGTCCAGCTATGTGCTATTGCACGAACCCCAGTCATCACCAGCAGATTCAGAAGCTATCCCCCAACCCCAGCTGTGTTCTATCAAGGGTCTTCATGTTGCTTTGCTTTCTATTTTCTGCAATCACATTATGATAGAACTGGCAGCCACGGCATTTACCATCTGCTATGGCTACTGAAAGGGGTATGTAGGGGGGCGGAGGGGGGGAGGGATCTACACAAGCTGCAAACGCAGCTTACTTATTTGGAACAGAGCTGAACAACCTATGAAGGATGAACCCGTTTTCTAAGCAGAAATCCACACATCCACTTATTTTATAATTTTAGGTGAACCCAGAAAAATACCTTGTAACCTTTCTCTCATTCTACCCACAGAGAGAAGTCAGCAAGGGTTCTGGGCCTTTTCGGAAGAATGTTACATCTGTATGTCCCACTGAAGCCCCTCATCCCTCCTACTCCTTCCTCCACCGAAGCCCCTCATCCCTCCTACCCCTTCCTCTACTCTGCTCACGCAGCTGCATCATTTGTAGAAATGGCTTCTTTTTGTCTGAGAATTGCTCATGAAGATTGTGCAATAGCAACAGATGTTCTTGGGCCCACGTCCCTTAATTTTAATGCCCAATGATTCTCCGTAGCTCAAGGTTGGGGTGGAGCCCAGCAACATGAGCGCTGGCTGGTTTAAGCAAGCCGGATAACATGACGTCTACTGTAGAGGCTCTATTTTGGCTCTTTAGAAAGTGGTGAATTGACCAGAGGTTGGCCTTGCTGGTTTTGAAAGCTCTTAATATTAGAAGCCCTGGCTCCTTTCCAGATCTCTTCCTTGAGCCTCATCCAGGCAGATACCTGGCTTCTGAAATTAAACCAGCATTTCAAAGCCCTGGCAGAGTGATTTTCAGAGGAACGTCTTTCCACGGTGAAGTGACAATACCCCCTCTGCAAGCAAAATGGGTAGCTCTGTTCTTTGTCCCTCGCATATCATCCAACTACTGTTTATACTAAAATGTCTGCTTAGCAGGGCTCAGCAGAAGTCTAGATAACTGGTGTAGACACCAAGGCACCTTTATATTTTGTTGTATGTATAGTTTATGCAAGAAAAAAAAACCAATATTCTAAATTTTGTCTAAATTCCACTAACATAAACATTAATTTTTATCTCCATGGCGCACAAATGCAGTGGAGGGTTGCCAGCCTGTAGAAAAGCCAGTTTGGGCCCAACAAGTATGCATATGCACCACATACACACATCAGCACACGATCTAGACGCAGGTGAGTATCACGTAGTTGGCTGCATTAGACTTCTAAGCAGGTATCTACTATAATTACCGAATGCCTCTATTTCCTTCCTCTGAGCACTGAACAATTCATACAGCACCTATGCATGCCGGGTACTGTGTCAAGCACTGGGGGGAATATACTGAGGAACACAGACCACAAAACATATGATCTTACAAAACACATGATCTACCAAGAAAGATCAGCAACAAAGCAAGCAATTTTTT